TGCCCCTCTGCCCCTCTGCCCCTCTGCCCCTCTGCCCCTCTGCCTTTGCCTCCCAAGCACTGAAACTAAAGGCACGTGCCACCACTCATGGCTGAATTGTGGTTTTTAAAGCTACTTATCTTGGGCATTGTGAGCTCCTCAGAAATGTGTTTTTAGTGACTCTAGAGAACCCTGATTAGATACTGCTGCTGTTGCACTGTCTTCCTGTAATTTACTGCACTGCTGTCAGAGAATGTCCCCACCCTGGTATTCTACCTTTTCTCCTCTTATAGATACTAGTAACCACTGTATCTGCATGTGACTTCCCCTTGGAAGGGTCCTATGTAGACCTCAAAATCAGGTCTTCTCCCTCTGGTTGCCAGGCGCTGAAACTATGATAAACAGCAGAGTGGTCTCCGTCTGAGATGCTTTCGGCCTGGGAGTAGTTCTGAGAAGGGAGCCTGCTAGCAAGCTTTGAGTCTCTGAAGGCACTTGTGCTAGGATAAGATAGAAAAGCCAGATCTAAAGTCTCTTTTTCTCAGAATAGTTAAGAGGGAGGATTTTGAATATAATCACCCTGAGCAAAGGATAAAAGCTTAAAGCAGCAGATATGCTAATTATCCTGATTTGAACAGTGTAAAATGTATGCAGAGTCAAGACATCGTGCTGTACCACACAAACATATATGGTCTAAGACCAAAAAATGTGCATTTTAATGTGCAGTTAAGAGGAATGATTCCAAATGAGCCTTGCTTTCCGATTCCTCCCCTTTCTGCAGGTCTTCATTGCTATTGAGGAGGTCACACGCTGCCACATAAGATTTACCTTCCGACACAGGTCATCTCAAGAATGTAAGTATTAGAAGGACTGTGGCACATTTTCATTTAGAGATGTACTGTTTTCTAGCATGCTTTGCAGATTTGGATATCTAAAATACAGATACTTGGCAAATTTAGCTCAGCATTCTTAGGTATCAGGAAAATAGAATAGTGATTTTTCTCCCCTGAGCGTGACAGATGTGTGCTCTACCACTAAGGCACATCCCCACCCTGTACTTTTGTTGCTGTGTATTTTTGAGAGAGGGTCTTGATATGTATGTAGCCCAGAGAGGCCTCAAGCTCGAATTCTTCCTGCCTCGGTCTCCCAAGTAGCTAGAGTTATGAGTATGAGTCACACACCCAACTTCATTAAAGGTGTCGAGGCAGGGGAATTGCCATGAATGAGTTTGATATGGGAGCTCTCCTTCCTACTGTGTGAAAAGGGGTGAAGATAGAAGGAAGGGTTTATAGAGATAACAGTTGTGGTGATGAGCATGTCTGGGCCTTGGGTAGAAACAGAGTATGGAGAGAGAAAGGGGTCAGACTACATTGATATGTTGGACAGGTCATTGATTGACAGGGTGGAGATTAGTTGGTACCACTGTTCTGGTTTGGATGATTCAGTGGGTGGTGGTCTCATTCATCAGGCAATATAGAAAGCATACCCTATGTGAAACATAAGGCACTCTCAGTTTAGGGGCTGCAGTGACATACATGAACAAGCTCACTGTTGGCCTATGTTTATTACACTGTGGTTGAACATCACACCCCCGAGCAGGTATGAAATTCACTGCCGTAGCCATGACCTCCTGCTGTCTACCCACATGGCTTGGGCATGTATTTCTATCTTTTCAGCCAGAGATAAATCAGAGCGAGCCTTTGGGGTGGCCTTTGTGAAACTGATGAACGCGGACGGCACCACACTGCAGGATGGGAGGCATGACCTGGTGGTGTACAAGGTGATGCTCCTAGCACGGGACTTCAGAATGGCTCAGATACCCCTGTTCCCTTTCAGTGTGGCTTTTCGGGCTCCTTTCAGATTTATGTGTATAAACTTCAGAAATCTACTGAAAGATACACAAGTCTGCCCTCTTTAGTCTAAAGGGCTCCAGGTCTCCCCTTAGTGGCTTTACAGCTCTCTCACAGGACAGTGAGTTGTATGACTATTGGATGTTCCAGGAGTATCTCACTGAGGGGCAGAGAGTATGCCTGGATTCTGATTGATTAGTAAAGGGCAGGGCCCTTGCTTCTGCTGTCCGCCATCCAAGTGGTACAGACTCTACAGAGGTGTGCTTGGCTAGAAACTGGCGGGTATTATAGGATGTGGTTTGTGAATCGTTGTTACCTAGGCACCATTTCCTTACTGTCTGGTTTTTGCTGCTTTTCCTATTTTGTGTCTATTCCCTGCACACTGTTCTGAGCCCTAAACTTACTGAGATTTTAGAGTTTGAAGTACATGCTGGGAGATCTCATTTCCCCAGTAATAGCTGGCAGAGGGCGGCTGATACATAGTAGGCAGCTGGTCTGAGTTGTGCCTAATCAATGAACATTTTCTTTCCTTAGCATCTCTTCAGTCTATGAGTAGTTTCAGGATCTGTAGGGAGCTATTTACTTCTCCATTGTCCCAGTAAAGTATGCATGTAACTATTTAGAAGTTCAAGAGAATCAAACTCAACCTTACTCTGTAATGTATGTGTTTAGTTCTGGCAGAGAATAAGATATTCTGATTTCTACTTCAGAAGTTACAACTTTATTTTCCATGATAAAGTTATTTCTGCTGCGAATTCTGTAAGAAGATAATGTCTGGATTATAGGGGATTATAAATATAATTTGATAAAGTCTCACATCTGCTAAGAATGACCATGTTCTTCTCAGGGAGAGTATTTTTTACTAGCATGTGAGAGATATTGCCCAGATTCTACTTTTTCTAACTCACTTCCCTTTCAGGGTGATAATAAGAAAATGGAAGATGCTAAATACTATCTGACTCTGCCTGGGACTAAAGCAGAGCTGGAAGAAAAAGAACTCCAAGCATCCAAAAACCCATCCGTCTTCACACCCAGCAAAGACAGCACGAAAGACAGTTTTCAGATCGCCACCCTCATCTGCTCCACAAAGCTCACCCAGAACGGTAGGTGTGGGGACCACGTGGACACAGATGGTCCTGGTCTGGTCCTCCTACACTCCTTGATTAGACTCAAGATACCAGACCAGGTGGTGCCAGGTCTTCTCAGATAGGATACTCAGCTCTGGATTCTGCTTCTCCAGTGATGTTCAGTGATGCTGTGTGTTACCTTTCCAGGTGCCATGATAAAATGCATGTCAGAAGCAATCTGAGTGACAAAAGTTTATTTTGGCTCCTAGTTCATGGGGACAGCCCATCACAGTGGGGGACAGCAGAAAAGCATGAGGTGGTTGGTCACACAGTCAGGGGCCAGAATGTGATGAGTGCTGTTTGCTGTTCAATGCCGTTTCTGCTTACCGCACACATTTTAAGTGGGATTCCCCACCTCCGCCAGCACAACCTAGAAACTTCCACATAAATATATATAGCCAGAGGTTGGTCTCCAAGGTGACTCTAGATCCTGTCTAGCTGACAATTAAAATAATTAGCTGTCCCAAGTGCATTTTCATATCATAAAACCTAAGCATATTCTTGAGTAGGTGAAATTCAGAAACCTCAGATGACTTCCCTTCAAGGATTCCAAGGCAATGGTGAGGATGTTTGTTTAAATAGTAGATGGTTCAGGAACAGTCAGCGTTAAGTGGGTGGATTCTGGCTGTAATCAATCTCTTCCCAAACAGGGATAACAGAGAATATGGATTAATTTCATGGTTTTTTTTTTCTTGTTTGTTTCTGTTATGTTTTTTGACACAGATCTCACTATATAGCCCAAGTTGGTTGACACTAGTAATGATCCTCCTGCCTTAGCTTTCCAACTGATGAGCGTACAGATATGAACCCCCACATCCAGTAGAGTTTCTATTTCTCCTAGGCTATTCCCTGCCATTGCTCCAGGAAACCAGTAATTTTTCCATCAGCTGCATGGTTTAAACAAGGCTCCATTTTGTTTCTCGTCAAACCTCTGGCATCAGTTTTAAGCTCTTGTATTTAACATGGCATTTGACAACAGCAGTAGTTACTCAGTTAGCCTGTGCTACATGGAAGGAGCCCTCCTGACTAGGGAGCCCAGGATCTACTGCCCAGGGGTCTTACCTTAGCATGCTGAGGTAGCATGCACTCACAGGATCAGGCCCGAGGGTGAGTTGGGATGGAGCAGAACAGGAGCGTTGTCTTAGGGATGGATGGTACACTGTAGAGAGAAGGCACACTCAAGACTCAGACCCTGGTTGCTGTTTAAGAGTCAGTACTCCTAGAGTTGGTTTTGACAAGTTCTGGCTTGCTTGAGAATATGGATGCTGTTTCAACTTGTTCTCATGGCTGGACTCAACAGACTGGAGTTCGGAGCTGATCTGCATGGGAAGGCAAACTCACTTAAGCCAAAGACACAACAAACTGGGCCAGTCTAATAAGCCTGACTGAGGCTGGCGGCTAGGTGACAATATAACTGCTGATAGAGTTAAAGATACAGTAGTCACAGAGGCTAAGTGTAACTCTCAGAAACTGAATCTGGCACCAGTGAAATGTGCATCACCTCTTATATATGTGAATGTTTTCTGACATTTATAATGTGGGCATGCTGGAAGCAGCCCAAATGGCTGGTGGTTGGAATCCATATAAATTTTAGAGCTTAATTAAATAATGAAATATATGTGGCCACTGAATACTGAGCTTTAAAACATTCTTAATGGCATCGTAAACTTCTTACTCTCGGCATATGCTTCTGATTTTGTTTCAGTGTTTGGAAGCTAGTTGGAGCTAGAATGCAGTCACGGCTCTGATGATTTCCCTGTGACTTGGTTTTCCCATCTTTTAAACAAGAGTAACAAATAATACATATTGAATATCCCTTCTCTAAAATACTTAGAACTAGAAACACTTTGGATTTCAGACTGTTAAAAACTATTTGCACACATGGAGTACACTATCTGGGAGGAAATCTAAGCATGAAAGTCATTTGTGTGTGCATTTGTGTGTGCACTTGTGACCTGCCATGATTAGAATCAGATAGAGCTAGTTAAACTCCACTCCTGCTGCCACTCAGTAGTCACATGACCTAAAGCAAGCAATTTAGTGTCAGGAAGCCTGTTTTTCTCCTCTGAAAACCAGCTACAGTACAGTTGTGACATCAAAGGGCACTGATGTGTCTGGATGCTGTCCCTTCCCTCAGAATCTGCCCAAACATGGACAACCATGAGGCAGGAAGTTGGATATTGGGAGGTTAGTTAGGAGTGTTTTCTAAGTTTACGTTTACAATGATGATGTCATCATTTGTGAAACATGAGTTCCAGTCAGTGATTTTATGCTCTTGCAGATTAGTGACTGGTTGGTTCCCCCCCCCCTTTGAGGGACTACAGAGGATCACAGGGTTTTCCCTGATTTAAATTATTTATTATTTAAAAATAATAAATTGCAAAAATTACAATAACACCCGAAGTACTTCTTAAAGTAGTGTTTTTTGTTTGTTTTGGTTTTTTGGGTTTTTTTGTTTTGTTTCGTTTTTTTTTTTTTTTGGTTTTTCAAGATCAGTTTCTCTGTGTAGCCCTGGTTGCCCTGGAACTCACTCTGTAGACCAGGCTGTCCTCAAACTCAGAGATTCGCCTGCCTCTGCTTCCTGAGAACTGTGATCAAAGGCCTGTATCACCACATCCAGCAAATTAAATACTATTAAGAGCAGTTAACTTTTAAAAATCTTTGTGTGTGTATGAGACGTGAGTGTTCACAGGTGTGCAGGCAGATATGGGCCTCAGTGCACATGTAGAGGTCAGAGAATAACCTCACATGTCAGACTTCCCTTTCCATCTCATTTGCTACAGTGTAGACCAAGCTGGCTCACTGTAGGAGTGCTGGAGAGGCAGGGGCTTACAGACATGTTCTACTGCAGCCAGCCAGATTGGGTTCTAGAGATCTGAATTCAGGTCTTTACACTTTCGTGATGAGCACTTTTACCCCCTGAACCATCTCCCCAACCTAACAGTGCTTACCTTTTCTAGAAAATTCTGTAGCTGTTTCTTCTAATGTCTGTGGTTTGTGCTTGTTCTTCCCAGTGGACCTGCTAGGCTTACTAAACTGGCGTTCCAATTCTCAGAACATTAAGCACAACCTGAAGAAGTTAATGGAAGTGGACGGAGGAGAGATCGTTAAGGTATGTCCATATGCCTTATATGTTTGAAGCCACAGGTATACTTTACTATCTCATTAGTTCAACAACTTTCATTAAACAAACTGGAAATCCAGAACTTAGTATCTCGTGGCTAAGCTAGTGTGCTAGTCTTACAAAAGTATTATATTCACACCTATTCAATAGAACACAATAGCTCACATTATTTTTTTCTACAACGTGTAGCAGGTTGGAAATAAAATAACCTCTTTGTTCATCTTACCTTCAGTTTTTACAGGACACACTGGATGCACTTTTTAACATAATGATGGAAATGTCAGACAATGAAACGTATGACTTCCTTGTGTTTGACGCTCTGGTAAGCAGCTTCTCTTGTTGACCGGTGTTTATTCTTTGATAGTTTGTTTTTAAAATACCATAAATATCATTGAGCAAAATTACACATGTACGTCCCTCTTGAGTAGTGTTTTAGCCTGAACTCTCAGAAGTCAAGTGAGGGACTGAAGATTTCTCTTCTAAGCGCTTGTTCTCTGTTTGGTCTCACCTTTTTGACATGCTTTCACTTTCTCCTTAGGGAAAAGAGTGGGTTTAGTTACATTAAGGTCAGCAGGTGCTTTAACTTTCTTTTCCATGCTCTGGTCAAAGCTCAGGAGGGGCCCTGGATAAAGAAAGATGTATGTCCTTGTCCAGCTGTCCAGCCATGTCAGAGACACTGTGTTCACCCATCAGAGATGAATTGTAGTGTCCTTATATGTGATAAGCAGCGTAGCAGACAAGTTTGTCACTCAGTGCTTCCTTACGCCTGTTCTGACAACTGAATCAGAGCTGTGATGTATAATGATGGGGCGCTGGGAAATGCAGACCAGTCCTGTGAGTGGGAGGAAGGCAGCACATCTAAACCCAGCCTCGTCTTCTCACCGATGAGGAGAGTCTAGGACAGGATTTTACCTGGGGCTGAAGACATAGCTGGGTTGCAAATGTGTGATGTTTACCAGTGTGGTGAAACTGGTCAGTTTGGCAGGGTGTCAGGACTTCTGTCTTAGAGTTTTACTGCTGTGAACAGACACCATGACCAAGGCAACTCTTATAAGGACGACATGTAATTGGGTCTGGCTTACAGGTTCAGAGGTTCAGTCCATTATCATCAAGGTGGGAACATGGCAGCATCCAGGCAGGCATGGTGCAGGAGGAGCTGAGAGTTCTACATCTTCATCTGAAGGCTGCTAAGAGAATACTATCTTCCAGGCAGCTAGGATGAGGGTCTTAAAGCCACACCCAGTGACACACCTACTCCAACAGAGCCACGCCTTGTAATAGTGCCACTCCCTGGGCTAAGCATATATAAACCATCACAACATCTAAGCTAATGTTGCAAGATAGAAGTAGGCAAGGCTGTCAATTTGAGCTGGTCCCATTTATAGGAAAAAGGCTGACTAGAGACCACACAGATTAAGCCCAGAAGGACTAGGCATCTGGCTGTTGGCATAGATGGCAATTCCAGGTGCCTCTTCCTTTGTACATACTCATTCTTGGTGGACTGTGGTTCTTTGTAAACACTGTTAGGTCCTATGTAGACATAAGATACCATGTAGGGAAGAAATGGAGAGACCAAACTCTGACCCTCATGGGGAGTACTCATACTCCACTTGGAAAATCTCTTGCAAAGTTGCATTAATTTATAATTCCGACAACCCCATTTCTCTTATCTTCCTTCCTCCTTTCCTGTGTAATTCTGTGACTTTAGTCACCTGTGTACAGACAGCACTCTTTTGAAACATTAGCTTCCCATGGCTAGTTGTGATGTCCTGGATCCATTTACTCATAGCAATAGGCTGGACATGGACATGTATAATCTCTCTGTGTTAAATATGCACCCTAAGACTTACTGTTCAGCTTAAAATGTAGAATCTAAATTTTGTAAAAATGACCAAGAAAGAGACAGCACCAGGAGGTTAGAGCCTTGCTCACAGGCAGAGGAGCACTGGGGGCTGTTCACTGCTGCTGCTAATGCTGGCCACCTTCTGCAGGTCTTCATCATCTCGCTGATAGGAGACATCAAGTTTCAGCATTTTAACCCTGTACTGGAAACCTACATTTACAAGCACTTCAGTGCCACCTTGGCACACGTGTAAGTATGACTCAGGAGACCTGCATGTTGTTGGAGTTGTTTGGGGGGGCTGGACACTTGAGAAACAAGAGGAGTCTTCATATAGTCAGCCTGGCTGGAGAGTGGGACTGTGTTCTAAGCATCTTTGTGGAAAGAGGCCATTTGAATAACATGTCAATGGGACAAGGTGTTAAACTAAGTCCCTTCCTTCAGGGTAAGGATACATTTCTTAAAATCCCAGTGTGTGTGCTGGGGAGATGGTGCAGTTAGCAAAGTGCTCTCTGTGCACCTACAAAGACCTGATTTTGAACCCCAGGACCCAATAACGTCCCAGGTATGCTATTGTATGCCTGTAATCCCTGCCCTGGAGGAGGTGGAGACAGGAAGATTCCTGGGATTTGCTGGCTATCAAGTTATGTTGAATTAGTGAGCTCCAGAGAAAACTGTCTCAAAAAGTGAAGAATAATTATGAAAAACACCTGATGTAGACCTCTGACCTCAAGACGTATGTACTTGCACCCATCTGTATGTACATACACATGTACAAATGCATGTATGCACACAAAACCAAAAAGACAAAACCTAAGGGCATACAATGGAGAGATGAAGACAGGCACAGACTTCCAAAACAGACGGCCAAAGTCAGGACCTTATGAATCAGATTAGTGAGATGATCATGAGGCACCAAAGAGTCTGACAGTGAACTAGGCAAAACCAAGTCTGGTAGAAGGTCGGGCCACACCCTCCACCCTACCCCTCAGTGCTTTGGGGAACTGATTGCTTGTTGGACATTGGATAATTTGGTTTATTTTCCTTTTACCCAACAGACAGTAGTTTTAACCTTTTGCATAGAGCAGCCTTTCAGTATGCAATTTGTGGCTTGCTGACTAGAGGAACCAACCTGTCATGGTCACTGTTTCTCCCTGTGGTACTCAGCTCCCCATGGCAGTGTGTGTGGCCTGCCAACCCCATTGTTGAATTCCAGTTACTGTGCAGAGAAATGAGACCAAATCCTGACAGGAATGTAGCTGGGATTTACTAACTGTCCTCTAGACAGTGGCTCATGCCAGGTCATGCTGATTACTGCTCTCTGATGTACCAGGTCAGATCATCCTGTGTCAGGAAGATACAGAAACACAAAACTTACAAAGAAGATGTTATGCAACATACCAGTTAGCCTTATGATCAGTGATTGCCTCATGGGTGGGGAAGGCAGCACACACACCAGCACTTGGTACACTTCCACCCAGCACCTTGACTTTCCAAGCGATCAGCAGCTACAGCTGAGGAGATCTGGTATGGAGCCTAATGACACTGAGCTTAATTAGAGCCCCGGGCAAACGTGAATTCCTGATTCTCCTGCCTCTACCTCCCAAGAGCTGGGATTATAGATTCTCACTTTCTCACCTACCTCCTAAGGGAATTTTCAATAGTCACAGACACAAGACTATAATAGCACATAGACAAGGCCAGTAAGAAGTTCAAAGTCAGACGCTTACCTGCCAAAAAGTACAAGTAATACACTCTGCCAGATTTATTTGCAGTGCTTGGATTTAAGGCTAATTATACGCATACACATGCACACACGCACGTGCATGCGCACATATACACAGAGACAGACAGACACAGGCACACACACATAGAAGCAGACAAAGACACACATAGAGACAGACACAGAGAGAGAGAGAGAGACAGAGAGACAGACAGAGAGACAGACAGAGAGACAGAGACAGACAGACACACACACAGGACTGAGGGGAAACAAAAATAATTGAAATATAGATACCTTCAGAAGTCCAAGTCACCCTAAAGCCATGGTGTTGGGGAGCTGGCTTAGTGCATAAAGTACTTGCTCAAGGTTGAGGACCAGAGTTAAATCCCTGGAACCTAAGTAAGGAGGGGCATTGTGTGTGGCACACATTTCTGATCCCATGTTAGGGAGGTCGAAATGGGCAGATCTCAGGCTCACTGGCTGGCTAGCCACCTAATCAAAACTGTGACCTTAGATTAAGTGAGAGACTAGGTCTCCATAAACAAGGTGTTGTGAAGAACAACATCAGTGGTTCTACCTGAAAGCGAACACGCATGTGCAAACATGTATCCGTACATATACAAGTCATAATAAAATGTAAAACGACATGAAATCCCAGAATACTTGTCTATTGGCATGTTCAGAATGATGGTGATGTAGAGTCAGACTGAGTCCACTTTTCTCATCTGTGAAGTCTCTATCTGGTACCACATTGATTTCAAAAGGTTGGAGCAAGCTGAAAGCAATTAGCATAGGCAACTGCAGTAGGCTGGCATCATCTGTCCTTCACATGTCTGCTTTACATGCCAAAAAATAACTATCCCCAAAAAGCAAATCTCATCTCTTCAACTCTTTGTTTCCCTTTTCTCCTTTTTCATGCATTTGTCTATGTGGTATGCCTGTGTTCATGTGTATGGATGTGTGTGTGTGTGTGTGCTTTTGTGTTCATTTACTTTTGAATGCCCCAAGGCTGATGTCAACAGTCTTCCTGGCTCCCTGTCCCCAGACTTTAGTTAGAAGGCATGCTTCTAGGACCCCCTGTCTCTAACTTCTGTACACTGGATCACAGGTAATCCCCCCGACACACCTGGCATTTACTTGGGTTCTGGGGATCCAAACCCCACTTCTCAGGCTTGCTGCTTGCATAACAAGTGTTTCACCCCCTGAGCCATCCCCCTAGCTCCAGCTCTGTCATCTCCTGATTCTTCTTTTCAGTTCCACCAAAGGATGCTGTGCCTTGTGGAATTAGTTACTTAATTAGTTTTCCTAGTATTTCCAAGAAGAAGGGAGGAGGTATCAAAGCTCAACAGATTCGGAAACAAACCAGCAGTTAGTTTGCCTGTTTAGGGTGTATTCAAGAGGGTGTGTTTGAAAGCTGGGCCTTGTGCTTCCCAGGTAACCACTGTTTCTTTCTCTGTTGCATACCCTAAGCCTGCAAGCTCTATGACAACGTTGATTTCTTACCTTTTTATTTTTTTTAGGAAACTCTCCAAGGTACTGAACTTCTATGTGGCTAATGCTGAGGACCCTAGCAAGACGGAATTGCTGTTTGCTGCTTTGAAAGCCTTGAAGTACCTGTTTCGATTCATCATCCAGTCTCGGGTGCTCTACTTGAGGTAATGGTCCCAGTCAGAGGATATTGCTGGTACTCGTCCAGGTCCCTTGTTCCAGTCTCGGGTGCTCTACTTGAGGTAATGGTCCCAGTCAGAGGATACTGCTGGTACTCGTCCAGGTCCCTTGTTCTTCGTGCTTATTTGTGTTGGTTGCTCATGGAATAATCAAACTTCAGATCTTTGGGGTTGAAGGCAGAGGTGAGTTATGAGACCACTGGAGAAGGTCCACTGAGGCTCATCTGCATCTAGAGAATACTAAAGTAGTAATGACACCAGGACTCACGGGTGTAAATGGTCAATTTGCTGTGTGCTCTGGAGGTCTTGATTGGTGATGACGGCTATTAGAGAGACAGGTCTTGTGACAAGCCAGGAGCTTGGGTTCTATCTCAGTGTGAGGGCAGCACTGGCAGTTTCATTAGTGAGATAAGAATCTCTGGCTCCTAAATGATCATCTCACTTCCTGTGTAGAAAGTGAGCAACCGTCTGATTGGGTGCTCCGGGGTGAGATACTGAGGCTGTACCTCCGATACAACTGCAGAGCTGGGTTGGCTCTGGAGGAGGAGCTAATTAGGTGTTGTAGGACTTGATGGGGCAGCATTAAAAAGGGACAGGCCAAAGACAACCTTGAAGTCAGGGTGGGCAGTGATAGTGTTTGCTGAAGCAAGAACAGTTGAGAACTGAGCACAAAATTAAAGTGTGTTCCATTTTAATTGACTTTGAGCTGCTTTGGGGCTCAGGTCATTTTATACAGTGTCTTCATGCATGTACATTTTGACTGACCCCCTTATGTAAAGCTAGACGGGGAATTTTATACTTGTGGCTTCGTGCCAGCACTCATCAAAGGTTTGGAGTTCTGGAGAAGTTTTAGACATTGGATTTTTAGAAAGATATCAGTGTGTTCATGTGATTGGAGGAGACCAGAAGAAATTGTGTGTGTGTGTGTGTGTGTGTGTGTGTGTGTGTGTGTGTGTGTGCGCGCGCGCGCACTTGCATGTGCTCTTATATTCTGAATCTGTTATACCTACTCTTGAGTACTTAATGGCATTGCTGTGTTACCATCAGTAATCTAGTGCATGGTCTTTTCCTTGAGACGTCGTGTGTGTTTGGAAAAACTACCCAGAGACTTCTGAGTTGATGGCACATATCTTATGAAGACAATTAGAGTGCTTTACTCAAAGCAAGTGCTTGTCAATAACATTCAAGGTGCCTGCAGTAGAGCAGGCCAGCAGTACCTGGGAGGTAGTGGAGAAAGTGGGCAACAGCTGGAATTCATAGGCTAGGTTGGGGAGGGTCTCCACAGTGCCTTTGTCCTCAGTTCCTATTGAAGCTGAGACAGTGGGGAGGGAGGAAGAGAATGGGCAAGGATGATTCAGACAGCAGAGGTGTCTGCCCTGGGAGCTCATGCCTCTTGTCCTTGGTCATGAGGTAAGGAAGGCAGCCATGTTTGCCTCTGCCTGCTGCATCTGCACAGTGACTTTCTGCTATTTTCTTCCTGTGGTTGGTACCCACAAACTGCCAGGCCCAAAGGCATCTCCAGGCTTAGGCCCCTTCAGATAGCTCCAAATGACAGTCCTGGTTAGCCAGCTGTAGACCCTGTGTTAGGACTTCACCTACAAATAACTACTTCACTTTTATCAGAGTCTTGATGTCATTTCAATCTATTTGGGCTGATTTCTAGTCTCTTACAAACAGTCATGGGGTGCCCCATGAGATGTCTCTACACAGTTAAGAGATGGTGACAGCAAGGCACTGACCTCTAGTGTTGTTTTTTGAGACCACAAGTCTACTGTCCATTTTCTTTTTCTCATTAGGTTTTATGGTCAGAGCGAAGATGGAGACGAATTTAACAACTCAATCCGCCAGCTGTTTCTTGCTTTCAACACGCTGATGGACAGGCCTCTGGAAGAAGCTGTCAAGATCAAGGTCAGCCTGGTGACCTCATAGGGGACCCTTTGAAGGCCCCTCATGAAGCTGTATTGTGGTAGGAGGGGAAGTGTGAAGTAGGCTCACGAAAAACAGGAGAAGCTTAGTAGAATGGGCAGATGGAAAAGAAACATGCATGAGGCCATGGCTGTGTGGTAGAATGCTTATATAGCCCAAGTGAGGTCCTGGGGTATAGGCACAGCATTGCTAAAAATGAACACACAATAAAAGTGTGTCCACCTTTTAACTTCCGCACACAGTTGTATATTCAAGTGTCAACTCACCAAGGACAGGCTACCTCGTTAGACATCACATGAATGGCTGTTTATTCATCCTGCTTGACCTCTCGATTTTAGCCAACTGATCCCCCTGCTGTCACAGGTGGCTGTTTCTCTTCTCTGTCCTCCCCCTGCCTCCCTCTTCAAGTGTAAAGTCACCAGCAGCAGCAGTCTTTACAGACTGGGAGGCATGGAACCCTTGAGGGCTCCAGTTTAAAGGTTACTGTTTCTTCCTTGCTTTTAATAGTAACTTGGTGAAAGAAACTTGAATTGCCTCCAAAATATGCACAGAGCCTTTTGGTCAGGAAGACCAAGGCTTGGACCTCCATTTTTCAGAAGGAAGTTGGGGGAGGTCACTCTGAAGACATCAGCATCTGATGGCAAGGGCACCTGCTTCCAGTTCCTTATTTAAACTCCAAGACCTGCCCTTTCGCCCGGGACACGGTGGCATATATATTTTTGGCTGCCTTGGCACTGACTGCCTTTGTGCTTCTCGCAGGGGGCAGCCTTGAAGTACCTTCCCAGCATAATTAATGATGTCAAACTGGTGTTTGATCCCATGGAGCTCAGGTGAGAAGCAGAACACGATCTGTGTCTCGAAATTAACAGGAGCAGTCCAATGCTGGGCGGACCTGGACCCTGCATTTGCCTTTGTTCTAACAAGTGTTAAGGGAATGAACACTTATGTGTGCTCAGTTTGGTGGAAGAGATAAAAGAACACACAAAGCTGGCCCCTGGGAGAGACTTGTACTCTCTGTGGGGAAAGGAGCCATGCAAAAGAAAGTCGCCTAGGGATGCAGACGATGGTGGCCCTTGGAGAGGAGACTGCTAGAAAAGGCATTTTGCAGAAGCAGAAGCAACAGGCAGGTCTGGATACTGATGTTGAGTTTAGGTGTGTTGTGTCTCCCAGAGGCAAACTCAGCTTGAAGGCAGAACCCTCTAGGGAACATGAACAGCAGCAGAGACACTCTCATATCAAGTCTTAGGTCATCCTTGAGTGTTTCTGGGTCCACTCGTGCTCAGCTCTCAGTGGAGAAGTGTGTAAGGATGCCTTCATAGAAGTGTTTAAGGATGCCTTCAGAAAGGCCACATGAGCACACTGACCCTGCCACCACGCTTTTCTTCCAGCGTGCTCTTCTGCAAGTTCATTCAAAGCATTCCTGACAACCAGTTGGTCCGGCAGAAACTTAACTGCATGACCAAGATAGTGGAGAGCAGCCTTTTCCAGCAGGCAGGTGAGTCTCCCTGAGAACTTGCAGCATTTGGGGAAGGAATCAGATGCCCTCCACTGGAGTACACGTGTGCCACAGTGGCTTGTCACAGTGTTACAAAGCGCATTCCTGAGTCTGGTACTTCAGTTCTCTGTTCTCTGGTCACTCTGGCTGGCTGAGAGATTAGTTTATCTTAGTTTATCATAACAAGTGAAGCCTCAGTTTAAATTGAACAAGTCTGTAGCATGTCTGTGTGATATTTATTGTTCTGTAAAGTTACTAACCTAATCCTGAAGTGAGACAATCACCAAAAAGAAAACTAGGGATGTTTCTTGTTATTTATGAAGGACTGATTCTAGAACATTCTGTGAATACCAAAATTTGTTGGTGCTAAAGTCATTTGTACAAAATATTATTGGTCTATAAGCTACACACATTCCAATATATTAAATACCACTCCCCTTTTTCTCTCTGCACGTGTGTGTGTGTGTGTGTGTGTGTGTGTGTGTGATATTTAAGCTAGGTCTTATATAGCCCAGGCTTGCCTCAGATTTGCTATATATCTTGAGATGACCTTAAATTCTTGACCTTTCTACCTCCATCAAAAAGTGAGGAAGGGCTTTAGCAGGAAGACTTAGTAATGAACTTTTACAAATGAACTGTTAGATCAGGAAAGAGATTCCATAGCCTCTGCCCTGCCCCTAAGCCAGCCCATGTCCAGACATAGCACTTCCTTCCCTGCCTGGGTTTTGTTTCTTGCTTTATTTATTTGATTTGAATTTGGTACCAGCAATACCCTTGACTGTTGGCTGACTGTTTATTCTTCATTTTTACTTATTTATTTGGTTGCTTGGTTTGGTTTTTTGAGACAGGATTTTTTCTGCATAGCCCCTGGCTATCCCAGAACTCACTCTGTAGACCAGGATGGCCACAAACTCAGAGATTCCCGCCTGCCTCTGCCTCCCGAGTGCTGGGATTAAAGGTGTGAGCCATCAGCACCCAGCTAGTTTGGTTTTTAGGACCTTCTGGGAAAGAAGTTTAAGAGGCTGAAGTCAGTTTAGTTTTCTTTTTTATTCTCCCCCAATCCCCTCTCTCCCTCTGTGTGTGTGTGTGTGTGTGTGTGTGTGTGTGTGTGTGTGTGTGTGTATACATACAAGTATCCAAGGAGGCCAGAAGAGGTGTCTGATCTAGAGCTGGAGTAGCAGGTGGATCTGAGCCACCTGCTATGGGTACTGGAAACCAGAGTAGGGTCCTCTGGAAAGCAGCATGTGCTCTTTAAGTGCCAAGCCATCATCTCTCCAGCCTTGTTTGGCATCTCTGATAGTTACTATTGTTTCTTTCCTTTTTTACTAAAGCAGTCTTCTCTTAGCAGTCCAGGCTGACCTCAAACCCTAGTTCTTCCATCTATCTTTTGAGGGCTAGGATTGTAAGCACATAACACCACCCCCAGCTAGACAGTTCTTCTCCTTTTATTTTATCCTTTTATATTTTATGTGTTTACTCTCTCGTCCTCTCTCTCATCCTCTCTCTCATCCTCTCTCTCATCCTCTCTCTTATTCTCTCTCTCTCTCTCTCTCTCTCTCTCTCTCTCTCTCTTACTCTCTCTCTCTTTCTATGTGTATGTGTGTGTACATGCATGTGTGCATGTGTGTCTTTATGTATGCATACTACCACACACCACACATACATAGAGGTCAGAGGAACTGGTGGGAATCAGTCCTCTCCTCCCACTGCATGTGTTCTGGAGATAAAATTCAAGGGTCACCTCTCTAGTCACCAGTTAGATAGTTCTAGTTGGTCGCAGTAAAACCACTGGTTCCAGTCACCTTTGTAATGTCCAGAGAACTCGGAGTCATCCTCATGAAGTACCATCATGGCAGAGATCCCAAGAAAAGGATGTAATGACACTCTCCATAAACCACACATCCACAAAGATGTGAACCAGATGTGCTAGCCAGGGACAAGGGAGTCACAGGAATTTGATAATTGTCTTGGTCAGGTAGAAACTTTCTGAGAACATGGCTGTCTGCCTTTGTTTTTATCTACTTCCTGTAACTTAGTGTTCATGGTAACGTTTAAAAAACAGACAAACTGTAGAGGAGTTAGTGGTGTAGAGCATATGCCTAGCATGTGTAGAGCCATGGCTTCCATCTCTAGCATCAAAAACCAGAAAATTAAAAACTTTAAAACACAACTGGGAGTGGGGTGGGGGGTAGGCCGGAGAGATAGCTAAGGAATTAACAGCACTTGCTGCTTTTGTGGAGAACCCAGATTCAATGTCCAGCACCCAAATGGCAGCTCACAACCATCGGTAACACCAGCTTTAGGAGATCTGATGCTTTCTTGTAGCCTCCATGGGCTACTGCTTGAATTTGGTACACATGAACCCAAGTAAGCATATGTGCATTCGCATATGCACACATAGACAATATAGACAATTTTGAAAATTAAAACCTGGAGAAATTGTTACATAATTTACACACTGTTAGGGCTTAGTCTGTGTCTCAGCCATAGAGACAGAGGCCCTCTATCAATCCTCAGCGTTGAAAAAGAAAGACTGTAGTCAGTGCTCACATCTCATCCACCTGTGCTAGGAGTTTCTTACTTGAAGTTGAAGCTCCATGCCTAAATCTATGTGCTCTTCTGGCTGGACTGGCTGCAGGATGTTCAGAGGCAAGTGGAATTGTAGAGGGAGCTAGCAGGTAGCCACGTGTGAGCCATTTTCTGTTCTTCTTCAGAGTGCAGGGAGGTGCTGCTGCCGCTACTGACAGACCAGCTCAGTGGCCAGCTGGACGACCACTCAACCAAGCCCGACCACGAGGCAAGCTCACAGCTTCTAAGCAACATACTAGAGGTGCTGGACAGGACGGATGTGGTGAGTCCAGTCACCTCCTATGGCCTGAGCCTCTGCTAGTCCCTTTGCGCCCAGCAGGAAACTGTGGTTTTTCTCATTTCAGGCAGTGTAGGAGCACTGAGGTAATAGAGCAAGCTGTGCCCTTTTTAGAATGGACTAAACATGGTGTACCTCACATTAGGTTGAGACAGATAAGCAAATGGCTTAGTGTGAGGGCCCCAGTGGACTGCTTTTCCTAACTGGATTACCACTGAGGTCATTGGCAGTACTCTTATGGACTCTACATTGCTCAGGCGCGATGATGGACACTTTAATCCCAGCATTCAAGAGGAGAAAGTAGGCAGATCTTTGAGGTTGAGGTCAGATTGATCGACCTAGCACATTCCAGGCCAGACACGACTACTTGGTAAGGCTCTATCTCAAAAAACAACCAAACAGATCTGTAAGTTCATAGGCTAGGAAGACACTCAACGGGTAAAGAACTTGCTATACAAGCATGATGACCTGCATTTAGATTCCCTAGCACACATGTAAAATCTGGGCGTGGCTGCACTTACAGATATGTGACCCCATCACTGTTATGTAGAAACAGGCATAGCCTCCAGGGCTCACTAGGCAGCTAGTGTAGCCAAAATAGTGATCTGTAGATCCAATGGGAGACCTCAACTCAGCAAATAAAATAGTAAGAAAGAAGAAGGCTCTGGCATCTACATGGATATGCATAGGCAAGTGTATCTTTACACACATGCATACACACCCAAACCTTAAAGAAGGAAATGAACCAATTTCTGCTAAGACCCACTAAGATGATTTTCCTGAAGAAACCTCTTTAGCTTCTGCATTCTGGTCTCATCGTCTCTGATGCTGTCGCCATCTCTGGAGCCCATTAGAAATATTTTTAAATTTGGTATTCTCTGTGATCCAACCCCCGACCCCACCTCTTGAGAACGGGAGTTAAACCTGCCTGGATCTCTTGTGTCCTGTGTTCAGGCTCCACTGGAAATGCTGGGAAACGGCACAGAACATGTTCTCTTGAACACTGATGGCAGAGAAGGAAAAGAACCTCACCCCAAACAAATGATGGTTGCCAGGGGCAGGGCTTCCCACACGTCAGGGGACCACTTGTTCTCTTTGGCCTGTGCTTCTCAGCAGTATCTTTAGAGTCTACACTGCCAAAGGACACAGGAAATGCTCTCTCTGTCTCACACCCAAGTCTTACTTGACTTGCCTGGCTCCACCACAGCTCCATGGCCCACCTCATGCTCAGCGTGTCATTCCCTTGGGCGTTTCTGCTCTTCTGTGCCATCCTTGGCCCCAGAAGCATGTGAAGATACTATTGTTTTCTCTGACTCAGCCCTAAACTTGTCTTTCCATATCCTTGAGCCCCAGGACTTCGAGTACTGTTTGTACAGTTCATTTGATATTTATCCATGATAGATAATCCACCCCCTTTTTATCCTTACACATCCCTATAGAAACCACATGATGAAGCTGAAAACAGTTTCCTGTAGTGCTGTGATTTGGAGTTTGATTTCTAAGCCAGAACTTGGTAGTGAGTAAAAAATATGACCAGTCATGTCATACACATAGCATTTTTTTAAGTGACTCTTAACTGTGGTGGTACATACAAGGCCTATGAGCTTCGAGCCAGACAGGGTCCCAGCATTGAGAGGGGCAAGTGGACTGTGGGCTCCCAACCCTCACCAAGAAGCTATCTGCAGTTGGCAGTGTTGGTAAAGGAAAAATGGTTACCCTGAAACTAAGGGAATGTAATGTCAACTATAGACAGGGAAGGAATTAGAGTATGCACATGTGTTCAGCACTGTGCTGTGTTAGTCCGGTTGAGTCCAATAAGAGCACTGTGGCCTTCCTCCTTTCTCAGTTACGAGAAGGTTGATGAAGAGGAATAATGGCCCTGAGTCACATGTGACTGTTAAAATGTTAAGTCCTAGAGCGATGATGCCCAGTCTTCTGCACCACACCACAGAATAGTGGGCTTAAACAGAAGTTAGTTCCTTGGAAGTTCTAGAAGCTGGAAGTCTGAGGTTAGGGTGTCAGCATGGTTGAGCTCTGCTGAGGACACTCTGCAAGGCTCATGGATGGCCACTCTCTCCCTGTGTGTTCTCATGGACTCTACTTCTGTCTACACAGCAAGAGGCAGAGAGTATAAATGCACCTGTCCCCCCTCAGTGTCTCTTCTAATAAGGGCACTAGTCCCCTCAGATCAGGGTCCCACCCTTGTGACTTTAATTACCTTCCAGGGGTCCTCTGATATTATTGGGTGTTAGGGCTTTAACATTTATACTGAAAAGGAATCACAAACATTTATTGCACAACAAACCCGTAACCTTGAGTTTTGATTGGAGGGAGGTTCTTTTTGTTGTTGTTTGTTTGTTAATTTGCCCCTGGGCAGCAGCATCAAGAACTTTGTTCTTTTCCCTCTCCTTCCCGAGTATGTGCCTGACTGTCCTGGGTGCCCCTCATCTGCTCAGCATCGTTAGCTGGGGATGTCACAGCTTTGTTTCTGCCACAGGGTCCCACTTCAGCACACATACAGCTGATCATGGAGAGGCTGTTGAGAAGGATCAACCGGACCGTGATTGGGATGAGTCGACAGTCTCCTCACATCGTGAGTCTCTCCTGGTAGCCCACACTGCAGGCACATGGTCCCACCCCACCCCACCAGTGGCTCTACGCTGAACCCGTGTAGGCCTCCGTATCACCATTACACGTTATAAGCCTATCTCAGTTTCTGAAGGAAAAAGGCCGATGTCATTAAGGATTAGTGAGCAGTATGTTCTTAGGAAGGCCAGTGACCTGTCTATTATGCCTAAATAGTTGTCAATAAAGGACAAAATTGAGGCCAGAATAATGATGGAAAGCTGAATGGTGTCATGGTTGAAGTGAATCCGCTTCTATTGAATATACCAGAAGCTGAGGTTAGATTTTAATTAGAGGACCATTCTGAGGTCCAAAGGATGATCTAAGATGGCCATGCTTTAACTTTGAATGGCTGACTTATTAAGAATAGGTAGCAAGGAGCAGGCAGTGAGAAGCATCAGGCTGATAACAAGATACCATCCAATAGAGACTTTACAGCACAGGCGACTGGAGTGGTCCAGGTGAGAGAGCAAGCAGTGGTAGCATCAATAGAAGGCTGGTAAGCATCCAGCAGCAATTAGCTGGTGACGTTGAGATAGTCAGTCTGGACTCTCCAAGAGACTGAGCTTTCTCTCCATGACTGAGCTTCCCATGGCCTAGCTTCTGGCTTCTCATTCCTCCTGAAGGCATTTCCAGATCATGTCGTAAACAATAGTGAAATAACAGCCCCTGCTGCAAGTACTTGGTTTTCCAGCTGTTCTCAGGGGCACAATGTTTCTTTTTAAAATTAAACTTAGTGTGTGTGTGTGTGTGTGTGTGTGTGTGTGTGTGTGTGTGTGTGTGCCATGATGCATGGCATGTGTGGAGTTCAAAGAACAACCTTCAGGGATCATTTCTCTCCTTCTATTGTGTGGGCCCCAAGCTTGCAGGAAGCACCTTTACCTGCTGAGCCATCTAGCCAGCCCAAGGATATAAGATTTTCAACAACCTTAGCTGTTTGTTGGAGGGAAAAAAATCTATTTTTTCTTAATATACAACACAGAGTTGGGGACACAGGCAGCCCCAGGCAAAAGGGTTTTTGGAGGACACTTGAAACTAACAGGCCAGTATTTAGGCAGTATTGTGTGTTCGTGGTACATCTCAGTGTCCAGAATGGTGTTGGGCTAGTTTTATATAATTGTCATTTTGTTTGTTTGTTTGTTTTTTAGCTAAAATGACAAGCAGTTCGTTGAAACGCAGAAAAATTGGGTGAAAGGCTGATAGGACTCAGGCACTCTTTACGAACTAGGTGTTTTAAAACTAAATGTGTTTAATGGCCTTTCTGTGAAGGTAGCAGCTGTTCAGAGATTTAAGGGAAAATTCTTATGCCCTTGAGTCACACAAACATGAGATTTAAAAAAAAAAGTGAGGTGCAGATGAATGAGCAGTCAAGTATAAGCAATAACTTGTCATATTGTAAGAGAATAATTAAAATCCTGTCAGACTCCTGCAGTTGAGTGTGTGTGTGTTTATCTGTGTATGTCTATGCATATGTGTATGTGTTTATAGAAATGCATGTTTGTGTATACATGTGTGTTTGTGTGTGTATATTCTTGTGTGTGTGTGTGTGTATATGTGTGTGTGTGTGTGTGTGTGTGTGTGTGTGTGTGTCTATTCCTAAGTAAGGTAGAACCAAGTTCACAGGTAGAGTTTTGACTATGTGAATAAGACTCTTACCGAAGATTTTTGAATTTATATCATTTGGAAAGCAAATGAATGGTTTGGGGAAAATTATTCATCTTTCATTTGGTTCTATACCTTCAAGGTAAATGTCAAATGAAATTAAACATTCTGTGTGAAAAATTAAGTGCTAGAGCAGCTGAGAAAAAGCATAAATGGATATGCACCTGATCCTAGAGGACTAGGACGATTGAGTCTCCAAATATTAAAAAAGAGGGAGAACTAGATTTTTGTCCTGATAAAACATCAGAGTCATACAGCATATCTGGAAAGTCACTAATAGACTTAATATACAAAGACTATTGTAGCCAATAATAATAGTGTTTTAGTTAAATAAGTAAAGAATATGAAGGAATGGGATAGGGCATAGCTCAGTTGAGAGACTGCTGGCCTGGTGTGCACATGGTCCTAGGTTTGATCCCCAGCACCGAATGAACCAAGCATGCCTGTACCCGCCTGTAAGCATAACCCAGCACTGGGGAGACAGGAGAGTCTGAGGTTCAAGATCATCCTCTGTTACATAGGAATTGGAAGTGAGCCTGGACTACCAGCAAACTTTTCTCAAAAATAAATAAATAAATAGGAATAAAAAGCAAAATAAAAAAAATGCCCAGAACGATATAGAAGGAAAGTTTTAACTTAGAGCAAAAGAAATGCAAGTTAAACAAAAGCGAGATTAAAATAAAAATCCAGAGTAAGCAAGAGACCAGAGACCCAAATAGCATTTGGCTATTGCATAAATGCAAAGTATATGATAATTTGTAAAATGTGTCCAGATCTCAATACAGTTTATGTATTGCCTTATGGGTAGGAAAAAATAAGCATTTTCAGTAAATAGTCTAAGACATACATTCAGAGGGAGGTATAGGAGTGGTCTCTTCTCTCCTTAAGCCAACATCTCTGTGCCAAATTCATTTAAATTTGTGTAGCTTTTGTATTTACATGAGTACAAAAGGTAATGTATTTTCCTCTGACTAGAAAATGAGGTCTGTTGGCTGAAATTCGTGTAGCTGAGGGAAGAGCGCCCTGAGTGTGTCATTTAGACCACACAAGTAGACATTACAGTCATCGCGGATTTCTCTGTCCCCTTCTCAGAGTCTGGTACAGAGTTCCACATGGTTCACAGACTAGATATAACTGTCCAAAGGGTTCTAGAGTCAGAGAGATGGCTTTTAAGGGTTCCCATCCTCCTCAGCATTGTTGCAGGTTAAATATCCCTTATCAGAAATAATTGGGACCAAGGGATTTCAAAAATTGTGGTTTTTCAAATTTTGGACCATTTGTATAGATTTTCCCGATTGAGCATTTTCAACTCTTTTTGTTGTTGTTGTTTTGTTTTGTTTTGTTTTGTTTTGTTTTGTTTTGTTTTGTTTTTCAAGACAGGGTTTCTCTGTGTAGTTCTGGCTGTCCTAGAACTCACTCTGTAGACCAGGCTGGCCTCGAACTCAGAAATCCACCTGTCTCTGCCTCCCAAGTGTTGAGATTAAAGGCGTGCGCCACCACTGCCCGGCGAGCATTTTCAACTCTTAAACCCCCAAATCGAAAATGCTCCAGAAACCTAAAACGTTTGCGATGTTCCCTGAGAGATGTTTCTCGGCACCTTCTGTTTTATTTCTACTCTTCCCACACCTTCCAACCTTCAGATTTGAGTCTTTTCAGTTCTGCCCCAGCCGGGAACTCAGAACCCACAAAATAATATACCATAACTGGTAACCTAGTTGAGATCTTTAATGCACCTAGACTAGCATTTCTTATCCTATGGATTGCAACCCCTCTGAGGTTTAACAACCCTTTTCACAGGGGTTGCCTAAGATAGTCTGCAGATCAGATATTTCCCTTATGATTCATAACAGTAGCAAAAGTACAGTTATGAAGTAGCAATGAAAATAATTTTATGGTTGTAGGTCACCACAACATAAAGAACTGTTTTTAGGTGTCACAGCATTAGGAAGGTTGAGAACTACTGCTATAGACCTAGAGGATTCCAAACATTGTAGCTGTTAATGGGGTGCCCACTACCCCAGATTTTAATACTCACACTAGGAGGTGCTTGAAGCAGAACTGCAAAGCATATGCCTTTGGATCTTTGGGAGTAGTATTTCTAGTTCCAAGTGTCTTTGTAGATAGAGCTTAATGGGTAGAAAACCCCAAATCCATGATGCCCAAAGTCTCTTATCAGTTACTCTAAGGAATCTTGACTCTGCTTCTTTCCTCGCAGGGCAGCTTTGTGGCTTGCATGATTGCCGTCTTACGACAAATGGAGGACAGCCACTACAGCCACTACATCAGCACCTTCAAAACCAGACAGGACATCACTGTAAGTTGTTTGCTCTGGATCTTGGCAACACTAAAGTGTGTGTGTGCTTAGATGTAAGTATGTGTTCTTGAGTGTGTGTGCATGTGTGTAGATATGTGTGTTGTGAATGTGTGTGTGTGAGTGTCTGTGAATGTATGTGTGTGAGTGTGTGTGTGTGTGTGTGTGTGAGTGTGTGGTGTTTAGAGACAATTCTTGTCTAGTACCCAGAACCCAGACCAACTTCAGAGTCATGATCCTCCTGCTTCATCGCCTAAGCACAGCTAGATCCATCTGAAGATTTCTTACATTTAACAACAGGTAACTGAAGCTGAATCAAGAGTTTCAAGCTCCCTTCACAACCACTGCAGTGGGAATGGCTGTCCACAGAGGGCACCAAAAGGAGAGTAGATGTTTCCTCCAACCTGATAGAGTTTAAGTAAAAGTTCAACATCTGCACCAGTCGTCACACAGGGGCTCAGTATGGGCCCTTCTTCTGAAACACTTAGACATCTTTTTGCCCTGAAACGTTTGTTCCTCATTTAAGGAGATATTGGTTCCTTAAACTATGCATGGAGTCTCCATGACTGCACATGCTGGTTCTTTGGATTGTGTTCATCTGCCTCTCTTTCTAAGGAAAGCACACAGAGGTTACCCCTCTACCCCTTACAGTGTTTGGAAGTGATCTCCTGTTGCTTTAAAAAGAAAGCGTGTTTTTGTAGTTTCAACAAGCATGCCTCTAAAGTCTTCAGGGAACTGTTAATGGAATGTAAGCTGTCGCTAAAGATGGTCTCTGAGCAGAGGGCTAAACATGGGCTGTGTTAGCCAGCTGACAATCGGATGGTCCCTGCCATCCGTGCATAGCTCACTCTTGTCTACACTCCATCCATGCATAGCTCACTCTTGTCTACACTCCATCCCTGCATAGCTCACTCTGGTTTACACTCCATCCCTGCATAGCTCACTCTTGTCTACACTCCATCCGTGCATAGCTCACTCTTGTCTACACTCCATCCGTGCATAGCTCACTCTTGTCTACACTCCATCCCTGCATAGCTCACTCTTGTTTACGATCTGCATTTTTCTGCTTTCCAGTCGGTCTCACCACCCTGAGCACATGTAGCTGATGTACCAATGTGGATACACTCCATCACCCCCATCTTCCTTCCTACAATGCCCACATGGTAAACAAAGCTAGAAAACAGAGAGGATGTATCATTGTTAGTCCAACGATGACTTCATAGTGTTGGTCCATGTGACTTAAGCTAGGAGCCCAAGAAGAGGCAGCATGCTTCAGGAATCAGCCATATGTGGCTGTGTCTGCAGTGATCTGTTGCAAGGGAATCCAGACAGGGGAAGGGCGTGGTGGAGGCCACTAAAACAGCCATGTGCTCTCCTTCAGGGCAGATGGTGTAGCAGATAGCACAGGTTTGACGTGTAACGATTCTGAGTTCTTGGAGGAAATTTGACACAAGCTACTTAATCTTGCTGAACCAGTTTCTTCATCAGTAAGATGCTGTCTACATGGAGGCTTAGTGTGAGCACTGGTGAAATCCATTGGTGGAAATGCCTAGCCTTGTGCTGTGCATGTAGTCCAAGCCTGTGAAGAGCACCTATTTGTATCAATAGTTCCATTCTTATGGGCTGTACAAAAATACCCTAGTGATTTCTTTTTTTTTAACTTCCTGTGGAAAGCAGGTAGAGTAGGGACCTTGTGTGTTCATGGGCAGACAGTTTGAATCTAAATTCAAGGTTATCCTGTGCTACATGGTCTGGTTCAACATCAGCCTGGATTATATGAGACAGTCTCAAAATTGATGATATGCATATATATCACTCCATCTGTCTGTCTGTCTGTCTATCTATCTATTTATCTGTCTATCTAGAGATAGAAATGATAGCTAGGTAGAGGATGGATGGATGGATGGATGGATGGATGGATGGATGGATAGATGATGGATGGATTGATAGTCAGATGGGCAGATGGAGGCCAGGGAATCCTGACTCTCAGGGTACTGTGTTCTTAGCACTGCCAATGTTCTTTTTTCCACAGGACTGTACACACAGTCAGAGAAGCAAACAATTAGGTCTTCTTTTTAGCAATCTTGGTGGGAAAAGTCTGAATTTAACTAAGTAGCAAAAATGATTTCAGAACCTTTTAATTTTTTTTTTTAAGCCTGGCCATTCTATTTCTGACTTGCTCCTCCTTTGGACAAGACCAGCCATTGCTACTGCCCCATGCTCAGTGCGCTTGTGGTATTCCTTGTTACAGTTCTCACATGACACTGTGATGCAATGTTTCCGGCTTGTGTGGCACTTTTCTTCTGTTCTAACTAGTCAGGAGGATTTGAACTAAGATCTGTAAAATACTGATGACTTGAGGACATTGACTGATCTTACAGTGGACCAACTTTGATCCCCAGCATCCACATGGCAGCACGCAACCATCTGTAACTCTAGTTGTTGGGGATCTGACACCAGCTTTTAGCTTCCATTGGCACCAGCCATAGGCAGTATATTGATATGCATGCAATTTATATGCAATTAATATGAAATTAAAAAGTTTTAATTAAAATGGTTGCTATCCATTTTTTGAGGTTCAAGAGATGTATGCAAACAGCACAAAGCAGAGGACTAAGAGATGATGGTTATAAACACGGGGTCTGTGGCATGCCCCATCTTGCTTCCTATTTTCTGTGGCCATTTAGCCTTGTGAAACCATTCGTAAAAAGAAGGATAATATTGTGTCCCTCTTTTTATAATAGATTCATGCTGTGAAACAAAAAAGTCTGTCATAGGCTAGGGGTACTTTTGATCACTAGTAGTCACAACACTTGGGAGACTGAGTCAGGAGGCCAAGTTTAGATTACATCTTGTCTGATGATACCAAAACCAAAGCAAAAATCAAATTATGCAACAGTTATATAGAAGAATGCATTGTCCATAATAACTTTCCAGAAATGCCACAACTGTGGGTCCTTCATTGTGTCATCCCAACATAAAGGTCCTTCTGTCCACTTGCTGAGAGAAAGACTGAATGAGCCTGTTTTCTAAACCATTCTTCTGTTGTTCTCCACAGGACTTTCTCATGGAAACCTTCATTATGTTTAAGGATCTAATTGGAAAGAATGTGTATGCCAAAGATTGGATGGTCATGAATATGACCCAAAACAGGTGAGAGAGCCCATGGCCATTCTGGGGACATTTGACCTTGAAATGCTCTGGTTTGCCTTGCATATGTGAAGCACTGTTAAATCTTTATCCCTCACACTTGCCACTTATAAAGAGGGTCTTCCCCCTTTCCTGACCACAGCGTGTTGGCTTGGAAACTCCCCTTCACGAGACTACTAATTCCTCCCCATCTGCTTTCTTTGCTTGCCTGGGTTAGTGTCCTCACAACCCTCGTGTTAATCCCTACTGGCCAGCAGCTCTGCATACCCTCTCAGTGGCTCTGCGTGCATTCCTCCTCTTCATGTTCAAGGTGCTGCCTGCCTTTCTAGCCACTTCCTCCTTAAGCATGTAACCCCTGCGCCAATCAGAATTCTAGTTCCTAAACATGGCTTCCGCCTCGTATCACTGCCTCTGCCTGCCATGCCTTCTCCATCCTCTCTGGAAGTCAACCGTTCTTCCATTCACAGGGCCCTTCTGAAACGTCACCTCCGCTGGAATCCTCTGCCCTGAGTTGTCACTGCTCTAGAGAGAGGCGGTTGGACCTGGGAGAATGGAGCCCATTAATGAGGCAGACTAAAGTCTCAGGCATTAGCTAACTTTTTTCCGAGCTCCAGACAGTTTATGCCCTGAGGGTTAAGAAAGGTCACATGGGTAAGAGTCTCATGAATTCAAGCTGCATACGGTCACAAGACAAGCAGCGTGTGGCGAAAACATTTTTCCATAGAGGCATATAAAGGATAGGGTAAACATTTTATTGCTGTTAACAGCCGCAATAATGAGTAAGCTGAAGCAAACCCACTCCTATTGGCTACTAACGGGAGGAGCACGAATTCACATCCCAAGAACAGTCCTGTGTTTTGAAGAAACTGAGGTCACAAGACTCTTGCCTTATTTTCTTAGAGTACTCTCACAAGCATTCAAAATTCTCCTCACAGAACTCCCTGCCTGGACCGTATTCCAATACCCATCCTTTCAGAAATGGCTGTTGATCTTGTGTTCCTTCTGATTTCCTGCATCTCTTTGAAAGTCTGTCACATAATTCTTTGTCATGGTCTCCATTGGAAAACAACTAGATGTCTAAGTGAAGGGTGCCTACTGCTGTACTTTAATCTTCTAAAGACTAGCACTTAGGTTTTGAGCATGTCATGTTCCGATATTGTGTCATTATCATAGAATTGCTACCTAGCAACAAATGCTTACAAATTGACAGGAAATGAACTGACTATCTATAATATTGCATTGCAATATATTATGGCATTAGAATGTTGCCAGTGAGCCACATAAGCCAAATCAATATAAGTGTTGTCAGCTTCCCATGGTCCTGTTAGTCAGAAAGTCCCTTCCCAATTAAATATCAGCTTCAAGAGAGATTTCATGAGAATGCTGGCCCGTAAGGGTAGGTGTCATAGCCAAGTGTAAACTGCTGGCTCAGGAGCAGTGAGCTTGGTCCTGCAGTCTCTGCTTCACCTTCAGCCCCCAAGCTCTCCCAGACCTTGAGAGAAAGTTTGTTTCTATGTCCCCTTTTGTAGCTCGTGCTCTGTGGCCTCTAAGGACACCATACGGTTATATTGACTTTCCCAGCCAAGCCAGGAGTGCTTGGCTTCCTGTTCAGAATATGTGGGGAAACATCTCCAGAGACATGGAGCTGCCTTCCTCATCTGTTATTTCCTCCCCAGGGTTTTCCTTCGTGCCATCAATCAGTTTGCTGAAGTTCTTACCAAGAACTTCATGGACCAGGCAAGCTTTGAACTTCAGGTAAGCATCCACCCATGTGGAAGGCCTTCGGTTATAGCAAGAGGCTATGTCAGCTGAGAAAGTGCCATTTCCGATTTTATCACTGTCAAATAAAGGAGGGTTTCAGGGGTCTGCTGATTTCCTGAAGTACACATTCCCAAAATGGTATTCTCCAGACACAATAAAATGGTTTGGTTTTCATTGCACAAAGGAAACATACATAAAGAAAACATGAGCAATACTGTCTTAGGAAGTACAGCTAAATACAAATATAGTAGTCTCCCCGACCCTCCGATATTCGGTCCAGGAGCATCAGAGGAAGTCTGAGTCTTCAGCCAGTGCTAAGCCCTCTTGTTACTATGTTCCTATGACTAGAGACCCATGGTGATGTTTGATTTGGACTTTTGGCCACAACACTAATAATGAATAGTAAAATAGAACAATCACAGCAGGATAAGGGAAGTTAGTGTGAACTAGAGTCAAGTAAAGTGCTAATGGTTTCAGACCACAGTGGACCGCAGGTCCTGAAGTTTCAGGAAGCAAAGCTAGGGCTAAGGAGGCTTCTCTCATCCTTGCCTTCAAGGTTAAGTTTTTTGTGTTGATTCTGTCCACACAGACTCGAATGTGTTTCATATGCACACCATCACTGTCATATGAATACCTTTAAAACAGGTAACGGCTGGGCGCGGTGGCAGTACACCTCTAACATAATGAGTTCTAGGTCAGCCAGGGCTATAATGAGACCCTGTCTAAAACAAAACAAACCCAGGTATCTGGTAGCTTCATCTTCATCTGTCCCTTCATATGACAAATGGAAGGACATTTATGTGTGCAGCCAGCAGGGCCTGGTGAAGGTCCACCGGGTCCCAGCTCTGTGGGGGCTTTAAGTTCACTAAACATTTTCTTGTTGTGTGCTTTTTGTTTTTATCTCAAATGTTTAGAGAGTTGTATAACTAGAGGAGGATATATAAGCATATACATATATATGAATTGATAATTATATATGTATACAGGTATATAATACATCATGTGCAAACCAAAATAGAGAAGAGCGCTGTAACCCTTTAATGATCCGTTGGCTGACTTTCTTCACTTTTTTCCACACCTCTCTGCCTTTTTCCCAATGATGTTAAACATTTTCATAATATGTTTAATGGCTGAATATGACTCATTATGCTCCTGACTTCGGATGTAGTGAGTAAATTCTTGTTAAGAACATTTGAATTGTTTCTAGTTCTTGTTACATTAAATAGCTGTGAGGGCCTTCTTTGGTTGAAATGTTTTTCACAGAGGAAAAAAAAATAATCAGGAAAGTATTTACCAGTTCAAAAGTTTGGAGAAACTGGAGGGCTCTTGAAACTCACTGCCAGGCCACCTGCTATAAATAGGTACATTTCTTGGCAGTACTTCCTGTGCCCCCAGGGTAAAGAAAAATGTAAAGTTTGGGTTGTTTTTCTAAAGGTTAATGTTAAGTCTCAAAACTTTCAGCAGTGAATAATTGAAACCCCAGACGGAACAAGAAGTCCTGTGGGTTTTATTTGAGTTTTTAACAGTGCAACACTCCCGCATGCGGGTGTTTTATCTGGATCCTCACTGGTGTAACTTTCTATTTTGCCTTGCCCGCGTCATGCATCCTGTGAAGCTCTGGAACAATTACTTCCATTTGGCAGTAGCTTTTCTCACCCACGAGTCCCTCCAGCTTGAAACTTTCTCAGAAGCCAAGCGCAACAAAATTGTGAAAAAGTAAGTTATCCCTTAAAGATCCGGTGACCGTTAGGAAGGTGAGGTCTCTGCTTATGTTCAGCACTGTGATGTTGTCATAGAAATTACAGGGACTTAAGGGCAGGAGAGATGGCTTGGAGGTTAAGGGCACTGACTGCTCTTCCAGAGGTCCTGAGTTCAATTCCCAGCAACCTGTAATAGGATCTGATGCCCTCTTCTGGATGTTCTCATATATAAAGTTAAAAAAATCAAAAAGAAAAAAGAAAAACAAAAAAAGCCCCTGCCATTAGAAATTACAGGAACTTGCTCATGTTGATGATGGTGTGCGTTTTATGTGTAATCTATCAATAGACCTGAAGTTCCTCCAGGTTCGTATTGGTTTTCTTAAGGTACCTCCACTCCCCTCCTCAGCCACATCATGCTATTGATAGAGTCAGGGCCCTTGCCTGGGATCTCCTGCCACCTGCTGTCAGTTCACCAAAATTGCAGGCATAGTGCCGCCTTAACTTTTTGCAGCATCCCCAGTCTTTTGTATTAGATACTCTGAGCCATCAGAGATTGTTTGAAGTATGAAGAAAGCTGTGCATATTGTATGTGCAAACTCCCTAAGCCATTTTGCATAAGGGACTTGAACAGATCTGGGGATCTGGGGATCTCAGAGCCAGCCCCTGCTATGCCAAGGGATGACTGCATGCACACAACTCAGTTCCACTGCAAATCCTGTTCTTATGATCTTCTTCTTAGATATGGTGACATGAGAAAAGAAATCGGCTTTAGGATTCGGGACATGTGGTATAACCTGGGTGAGTGTCTGACCTTGAACAGACCCTTCCGTGGCTGCTTTACTTTACTTTTTTTTTTTTTTTGTTCTAAAGGAGAGTTTTCTCAGCACAGGTTATAGTAAAAACACGCACCCATTATGAATTCTTACTTTAATTCACATAGCCCTGATATCTGTCTGTATGTGTGTCAGAAGTAAAGTAGACTTGTGGGTTCCGTACCCTTTCACCTGGGGCACTGGCAATGAGGCCTCAGTCGTGCCAGCCATAAACTATCAGAAGGCAGCATTCTGCCAGCATTCCGTGATTGACATGGTACATCACATGAACTTTCTCCTCTCTTCTGGGCCCCATGGAAGAAGATTCATTATGTGGGACTGAGAGTGATGCAGTATTCTAATATCGCCATTTGCCATCATTTCAGGGCCACACAAAATCAAATTCATCCCATCCATGGTGGGTCCCATTCTGGAAGTCACTCTGACCCCTGAAGTGGAGCTCCGTAAAGCCACGATCCCCATTTTCTTTGATATGATGCAATGCGAGTTCAACCTGAGTGGAAATGGCAACTTCCACACGGTGAGAAGAGGCGGACCCTGACCACACCACCATTCCTCCACATGGAGAGGCAGCAGCTTCCGTAAAAACTGCATTTTAAAACTTATCTTTTTACATTTTACTGTGTAAAAGAATTAGACATATGATTGGATCTTCTGGCCCAGAAAGTGGAAAGCTGGCCTGATACATCTGACTCTAGACCTGAAGGTGGAATCTGTGTGGCCAGCTGCAGAAGGGTGATGCAGGTCTAGCTCCCGGGCATCCCTGCATACCTTTGAGAGCTTTAGTTAGCCTGTGCTTTCTCTAGACCTCCCTTACTCATACACGGCAGTAGTCAGAGAGGAACAGAGTGAATATGCTGAGTACAGATCACAAAACAGATGTATTACATTGGCTTACACAGCACAGGCTGGATAGTCCAACAATGACTGTCTGAATCCGTAGCTGTTCAGCCCCCAAGGCTAGGTGCCTCAGCGCTCCTGATCTAGAGCTGAAGGCCTGGAGGATTCCTGAAGAACCTCTGGCCTTCAGTCCAAGCTGGTAGGTCAAAGAAACTGGGTCCATGTATAGCAAAGATGTTGGTAGTGGTAGCAACCACAGGAAGTAGCAGCAGCAGTAGGGTAGATGCACTCACCAGAAGAAGCAATGGCAGGCATTCCATCTGACCGCCCACTCTTGGGAAGAGTATTGCTTTCATATACCTTCACAGACCTACCCAGAGGCTTTTCTCCTAGCTGATTCTAGATAGAGCCAAATTGACAACCAAGTTGACTCAAGTTTTACATCTGTAACATCTACGCATCGATTAGTATTGAAAGGGAAGGCTTTGTAGCTATGATGCAGAGCAAAAATAATCCCATCACCAAGACTCGGACAAGAAACAAAAATAATATAGAAGCCCAGGGTGTAGCTATATAGCTATAGGTGTATAGCTGTAGTCCCAGTACTTAGGAGTCTGAGGCAGGAGAACTATCATGAGTTTCTGGCCAGATAGGACTATCTGTATCAAGTACAAAGGAGAGAGTGGTTATGAATTTATTTTGTATCCATGGTGGTAAGTAAAATAGCTTTTTCAGGAGTGTTAGCAAATGCTTTGGGATGTTTTGATACGTCTTGGTGCACAGTCTGGATGGGCGAGTTATAGATAATTCCCCATGTACTTTGGGAACAGTTCATGACCGGACAGGGGTTGAGCCAGCTCTAGAAAGACTGGCCACTGCCTACCATGTGTTCTTCTTAGGACCTGACATCCTCCTGTGAAATTGCCTTCTCTTTCAGTTTGAGAATGAGTTGATCACAAAGCTGGATCAGGAAGTGGAAGGTGGCCGAGGAGATGAACAATACAAGGTTCTTCTGGAAAAGCTGTGAGTATCTCAGAGCAGCAGCTCAGGCCAGAGGTGGACAGAAACAACTGTCCAGCCAGCAGGGGGTTGGCAGGTTCAGACTCACCCAGTCACTAACTGGCCCTCAGTCATGTGGCTGGAATACATAGAGCGGATACACACACACACACGGTGGATAGTGTTTACCCAATGTGAGTCCCTGCCTGGGCTCTCTAACCAGCCTGGCCCTGGAGAACACAGCAGAGGGACGAGAGGAGAAGACACACACAGCAGTGGCATCCTGCCTGGCGTCTTAATTATGAACCTGAGCAAAAGTAGAGCATCTCTAATTGTGGCTTCGGAGCAGCCATTTAAAGGAAGTCAAGATTGACTTTAGACTTCAGAATACCTCACAGGCCATCAAAGAATTCTGAGAACAGAGCACTCGTCTCTTAGCCAGCTTGCTATCCATGAAGACAACATCACTTCACATGAGTCCACATTGTCCCTTCATCTGCTGACTCCCCTACTCAGCCTCTACACGCTCAGCCCTATCATGCTGTTCACAGGGGTGTGCCGTGTGGTGCAAGCCTTCGACTATTGGGGCTGGCAGGAATAAGTACAAACCCTCTTTTCACCACATTCTCAGATCTTGTCTTTGCAGCCAGTTGAGTCAGCCTGCCAGATCAAGCTCCCCAACCCACCTCCATCTATAAGAGTAGTGTCTGCTCTTTATTGTCAGGACTAAATGAGGCTGTGAGTCAACAGAGTGTCGCTTGCAGAGTTCACACTTTAAAAAGCTTGACTGCAGGTGGGCAGAGTGGCTCTGCCAGCCACGGAACTTGACAGCCTGAACTCGATCCCTGAGACCCACATGGGGTAGAAGGAGAGAGAGCCGACTCCTGAGGTCTTCCAACGTGTGCCACAACATGTACCTGTATCCACACACATACACAGAAAATGTTGTGCGTTTGCTGTTGTTGTTGTTGTTTTTGTTGTTGTTGTTTTAAGATGGCAATTATTGTCTAATCATCTCTTTGTGCACATTGGTTGCTCATGCTCTCTGAACTTTAATAACCAGTCACCTAGGTCACACATTGTGTCTTCTCTCTGTCACTTGGTTATTCTCCTGTTCTGGAGAAACAGTCTGAGTGTGATATATATTGATCATGTCTCTTAAAGATTCCCTGAGGAGGAGCCAACACACTGAGCACATGGTATTGGAACAGGGTAGGGGAATCGTCTCCATTTTAAAGAACTGGATGTCTTTGTTCTGTTTATAGACAGAATAAAGTGATCTTTCTATCCTTTTTCCATGAGATCTTGGGCTCATACCTTCAAATGCTCCTAGCTTATAGCTTTTGAAATTCTGCATTTGTCTGGAAGTTACACACAGATAGAAACAGACATAAGATTTGGGGATAGTTACACACAGATAGAAACAGACATAAGATTTGGGGATAGTTGGGCATGGTGGTACCTGATCCCAGCACCCTGGAAGCAGAGGCTGGAGAATCTCTATGAGATCAGAGTCACCTGGTCTATGTGGTGAGTTCCAGGCCAGCCAGTTCAGTTCTGCATAGTGTGAATCTTGCTTTTAAAAAGATCTGTTGACATAGAGCTCAGCAGTAGAGCACACCGCCCAACACACACACACACACACACACACACACACATACACACTACACAAGATAGAATACACATTTTTAAAAAATCCCTACACCTTCATGGAGAGCTCTTTGTTTCCTTTATTCTTTCTGGATCCTTGGCTCAGAAAAGTATGACTGCATTAATTCCAACACCCAAAAATACACCTAGAATCTGGGCAAATTGTTTTTCTTTAAATTTATTTTAAAGTGTGTGTGTATGCTTGCATGTGTTGGTATGTGCTCATGAGTGCAGGTGCTTTCTAAAGAGGATATCCGATCCCCCAGAGCTGTAGTTACAAGTGGTTGTGAGCTGCCCAACAGGGGTGCTTGGATTCTCTGCAAGAACAGTGTATGCTCTTAACCATTGAGCCGTCTCTCCAGTCCCATGTCTGGGCTGATTCTTTAGACCCATTACCAAAGAACCCCCAAAACTTTGCTCTCTATGTCCCAAAAAGGAGAGGGCTGGATCTGAGGTGTAGCCCCAGTCTCTCTGCTCCCAGTTCTGTCTTTCTATCTGAAGATGTATGCAAATGGTCTGGTTCTTCTAGGCTTGGCTTCTATCTGGGATTTCCAGACTGCCTGTTCAATGCCAGGCCCTTGGGAGAACAAAGCCATGGGACAGGTGTTCTTATACAGCTGAGTTGGAATGGCAAGGGGTATGTGAACAGTGTAGGCAAGGGCTCTCATTTCTGCAATATCCACTAAAGAAATTGCTGATAACTAGTGTTCAGAAGACATTGTGGCCTGGGGTTCTAAATGATTGATGGGAATTGACTGTGTCCCTATGAAAGAGTTGAGCCTGAGAAAATATTAGGTCCAATATGGACCCTATTGAAATCCCTAGGGCAGCTTGTGTTCCACAGGGGATATCTATTATGTCTAGAGCCTCTTGCTGCTAGGACTTGGTTGGGGGCTCACCAAAGCAGCTAGGTGAACCACGGAAATTTTCTCTCCCCACTCCAGACTCTTAGAGCATTGCCGGAAACATAAATACCTCTCGAGCTCTGGGGAAGTCTTTGCCCTCCTGGTCAGCAGCCTCCTAGAGAACTTGCTGGACTACAGAACCATCATCATGCATGACGAGAGCAAAGAGAACCGCATGAGCTGTACGGTAAACGTTCTGGTAAGGGCCCGGTCCCTGGGCTTGTGAGTGGGCACAGCTGGGCCACCCCTGCTCCACCAACCCAGCTCTAAGTCAGTAGCGCAGATGCCCAGCCATCCTGGAGCGTCCTTATAGAGACCACGCCCCACTCACAGACAGTAGGACACAGACTCTCAAGTACCTGGAAACAGGTGCAAAACGTGCAGTCTTGACACTCTAACCTTTCCTTGAGCCCTTCTCAGCCTGGCTCTTGGTCTTACTTACATGTGCTTGCTTTCCTGTTGTGATGTAGCACATAGAAACCTATGTCATGAAATAAGTTAGTCTGTGCACTTCTCCCAACAGTAAAACTCTAGTCTTCTTGGGACTACAGACTTCCACGGTTTAGGTTGCTATGTATTCCTCTGCTTAATATAAACATGACTGCCAAAGACATGAGTGTACCAGGTGGCTTCTGAATAAGACAAGCACCTGCTATCCCCATAGACAATCTCTTAGATTTCTCAGAAGCATGGTCTTAATTTCTCTACTTCTTTATAACCCATGGGTCTTCCACACGGGTCCCATTTATTACCTGCAGAAGCTAGGCATGTAAGAGGAGTGTGTAGGCAGCTTCTGTGTAGTTATATTTATATTTATAGAGGAGATTCTTAAGGGAGACAATGAACTAATAATGTCTCTTTGGAGGAGTGACAGTATTGAAAAAACAGCAGGTCAGGTGGAGAGGTTGTTCCATGGTTTAGAGTGTGCACTGCTCTTCTAGAAGACACACAAGTTTGGTTCCCAGCACATGTGTCAGTTGGCTCACAACCTACTATAGATCCAGCTCCAGATGATCTGATGCCCTCTTCTGGCCTCTGTTGGCAACTACACCAACACGCTCAAACACTTAAAAATAAAGGAGCAGTCATGCTTTGGCTTTGTGTCAAGTTCATCAGCAGCCTTTCATTTATGTTGGTATCTTGTGACCTTCTTTTTGGCAGAATTTTTATAAAGAAAAGAAGCGAGAGGACATATACATACGGTAAGTGAAGGAAATGCCTTGGTTTTGCTATCTGTGTCATGGGTTTGTGGTATATTTTTAAACCAGAAAATACTGCCCTGAGAGCACTGTTGCTACCTCAATAGATTCCAACAAATACAGGATGTGTGCAGCCAGCCTCAGGGGGTGAGCTCTCTAGACAGAGCCACAGATAAATACAGTTTGAGGGAGTGTGTAATAGCATCAGGTGTGTAATCACCATGCAAGGAGGGATAGAAGGGACTCAAAGGGACAGGAAGGAGAAATAACCCACAGTGGCCCTTGGTTTGAGGGTCATGAGTCTCTGATCATGAAGTCAACTTGTCATCAATAGAATTTCCAAAGCTTTACTACACATCCCAAAGAGGATCAATATAATAATAATATAATAATAATAATAATAAATTAAGAAGACAAAATAGAAGAGCTAGGAAAACCACAGGGCAGGAAGGGGTACTGTGTGCTAGAGAAGTAGGAGGTGGCAAGTCTATTGCCTAAGAGAAGGAGGTGTTCCTGTTAGAAGCAGAAGTTTATGTGCAGGCTGGGACCTGGCTAGAGAATGCTCTGAGCGCTGGCACACCTCCTTGGTGACAAAGGGCCTCTTCTCTCCTGTCTCACCAGGTATTTGTACAAGCTTCGAGATTTGCACAGAGACTGTGAGAACTACACAGAAGCTGCCTACACACTCCTCTTACACGCCGAGCTTCTGCAGGTAATAAATGGGACCTGTATGGAAGACTCATTGTGTTTGCTGGGTTTTCAGTCCTTTGGGACTAACTTCTATCAACTTCATGATATGGGCCCGAAAGGACCTTATTCAGGGGGTATAGTTTATCTAGGAATGTGTTCCTGTGTTCTGGATAAACAGGGTCACATTTCAGATGAAGACTGGGAAGAGAATCATTTGATATTTAAAGCTCCTTAGGAAGCAGGATACAACTTAGCAGCCTCTGTGATGGTTGGCATTCTCATTAAATAAATACATGTCGATTATGTGTAAAGAGATTAGTAAAATGATACAGAGATGAGTTATGAATGAATAAGCGACTTGGAAGCAATAATTTCCTGTATATCTGATCTCTCCTCTCTCCAAATAAAATTATAGTGGAGCATGATGTCAATGCTTCTGCTTGTCCCAAATCTCAGGTAATTATTTGAAGCCCTGTCCTCCTTTGGATTCCTGCATAAGCATCAATCTTGAATAGATAACTCAAACTCAACGTGTCTAAACCACAAGCCTTTGACCCCACCCTTTGCTCCTCCCCTTCTCTGTCTGACCTCTCCCTTCTGCCCAGGAGCTTAGTCACACTCCAGCCTTCTCTTTTGGTTGCTGCCTTCTACTCTTCCATGAATAACGTATGTCCTCAATCTATCTTCTAACTAAAATAAATAAATAAGTAAATAAAATAATAATCCCTTGCTGTCATCCACGTCCAGTCCCCTGACATTTCTACCTGAAGTACTATAGTAGCCTCTTGCTAAACCGTCTGGCTTCCATTCTTAAAGTCAAAAGTTTATCTTGACTTGATTTGATTCTAAAATCTATCCATGCATCATTCTCATTAGCTAAACACAGGAGTCCCCTGCCTCTTCATTTCCCAAGAAAATCTACAGTCCATGCTCAAGGTTGGGATACTGAAGGGTTTTCTGCCCATGGATATCATCAGAGAATGGTCCCTGGTGATAAGCCCTATAGGTCTTTTTATTTTTGCTACCCAGAAAATTAAATTCTCAAGCTGGCCATGGTGGTGCATACCTATAATTCCAGCACTTAGAATGTTGAGACAGGGGGCATGGTGAGTTCAGGGAGAGCCTGTGATTCATAGGGAGAACCCACCTCAAAAAATTTAAAAAACGAAAGAAAAGAAAATTAAGTTGTCCTGATCTGGTGTAAGGTATGAAGTGTAGATTCGGCTTTTCTTCCCAGTTAGCTTTACACAGTAGAGACAGTATTTGTTAAATATAATCTGAATTTCATCCACTGGCCTAAGTTGCCAGCTTTATCTCTGTTGGAGGAGGTCCCATTCTAGTATCTCCTTGCATTTGGGCCTCTGTTCATGCATTAAGGCTACATTGTTGATATGATCCTTTCTGTACAGTGTGTTATCATGGACGTATTTACTCCTCATTGCCCCCCCCCTCCCCAGTGCTGCTTCTCGTTCCTCTGTATTTTTCCATCTGGGCCTTAGAGGCCTGGAATTTCAAATGACTTGACTCTCAGGGTATAGCTCAGTGGTAAAGCACTCACATGGCATGCTCATACCCCTACTTCCAGGCCTAAGAAAGAAGGGGAGAAGGGAGGGAAAGGCAAGGAAGAGAGGGGAAGAGAAGGGAAGGAAAGGGAAGAGGAGAGAAAGAGGTAAGGGGGAGGGAGAGAAGAAACGAACTTTGCAGGGCCTGCTAGGATAGACCTGTAATTCTCATTGGTAGGGAGGAGGCTATGGCTGGAGGATTCCACCTTGAAGGCCTGAACAACTTAGTGAGACCTCAAGTGTCAAAAATATAGACATGTAAAAGTAAGGCTGGAGGCCCAGCTCACTTGGAGTGCACATACCTAGCATGCACAAAGCCCGGGGTTCAAGTCACACCACCACCAAAGAAGGGCAGTGGACCTAGGGGGAGGGCTTTAGTAAGAAGTTCCATGTTTATGACATAGTGTTCTCCTCCCAAGGCATAGTGAGAGTTTCCCTTTCCTCAGGGCTGCAGCCGTGCCTTTGAATGGCTGGTCAGGCTCCCAGCATCCAAGTCTTGTGTAATCCTGGTGACATCTGAGGTGTTCAATGGGCTTCATTGTGATGGACTCTTTGCTTCTGCTCTCTTCTGTGTGGCTGTTGTCTTTTTAGCCAAGGTCCATCCTCAAATATTTTTATTCCTTTGCTTCTTAGTTCTCCAAGCTGTGTCTGGTTTTGCACTGGGCTGCAGTGTACTATGGAGAAGGAAATGTCGGCAGGCAGTGATAGCTTTACCTGCTCCTCCATGGTTGTGGGCCTAGCGTGTTTCTCTCATCTGGTTGTGTTCAGGATGCCTTCCATACAGTATTACACTGGGTTAGCAGCCTCACTCCATTCCTCCCTTGTTGAGGAACACTGCAGGTGCCTGGCCATTTGGCATGACACTTGTTTCAGAGCAGAGCTGACATATGGGCCTCCTTGTGTATGTAGTTTTGTGTTTGGTAAATAACTTAAAACACAATATGGGTAAGTTGACAGCATGCAAATAAGTGGATTCCTGATTTTTTTTGGTCTGAAGTTTTGCCTCATTAATCCCTGTGTTTTCTTTTTCTCTGTGTAGTGGTCGGACAAGCCCTGTGTGCCTCACTTGCTGCAGAGGGATAGTTACTATGTTTATACCCAGCAGGAGCTTAAAGAGAAACTGTATCAAGAGATCATATCCTATTTTGATAAAGGCAAAGTGAGTGTGTGTGGGGGGGAGGGTTCTCAGTTGTTGTTGTCTGGGTTTTGCTGTTTTTGTTTTTGCTACTGGAAAGAGAAAAAGGATTCTATTAACTAGATTTCTAATTCTGAGTGTTTGAGTCTTCACAGAGCACGCAGGATAAGGACACTTATTCCCAGCAAAATGACAGAGGCTTAAAAGATTGTTCAGTGTATAAAGTGCTTGCTATGCAATACTAAGGACCTGAGGTTTGATCTCCAGCATGTAGCTAAAAGCAGGCCATGAGTACATGTACCCATAACCCCATTTTTGGGAGAAGGAGACAGTAAGTCTTCCAGGGCTTGCTGGCCAGCCAGACTAGCCAAAATGATAAGCTTGAGGTTTAGTGAGAAATCCTATCTCAAAAAAAAAAAAAAAAAAAAGGTAAAAAGGTGATTTTGGAGCTGAGCATGGTGGTGCACACCTTAATCCCACCACTTGGGAGGCAGAGGCAGGGACACCTGATCAGTAATGTCTATGGAAAGTATCCCAAATCAAAAGAGAAAAAAAAATATTCCAAATTGGAAACACCGGTAATCCTAGGCATTTCAGAAAAGGGCTATTCAACCCGTGGTATTCTTAAAACATTGGGAAAGAAAGGGTTAGTTGATCAAACGGTGTTCCAAGTCAGAGTCCCTTACGGACACTCAGCCTGCTGACTGCTTAGTCTCAGTTATCCTTAGGGGAGGTAACAGCCGCCACATCTCACCCTGCTTTCCTTCTTCTGAAGATGTGGGAGAAAGCCATCAAGCTGAGCAAAGAGCTGGCAGAGACCTACGAGAGCAAAGTATTTGACTACGAGGGCCTGGGCAGTCTCTTGGTAAGTCTGGGCCAGCAAGGCTGCTGAGGTGGGCACTTCTAAGAACAGTTTGGTAAACAGGTTGAAAACAGGGCCAAGGGTACGCTTCCCAGTGGAAAAGTAAACCTTATTTTAAAAGAAAAGATGTATAACCCCAAAAGCTTTGACCATTGTTCTCCAGGTTGTCCTCCAAGAAGTCCCCTGGGATTAGGAATGAGGACTGCCCTAGGGAAGGTGGGAGCACTGAGCCTGGGTGATCATGCCCCATCCTGGCTACCATGGGGCATCATCTGTTCATCAGAATTCCCTTGTCTTAGGCCAATTCAGCAGATAAAGGCATTTACTGTCAAGCCTGCCAAGCGAGTCCAATCTCCACATTCCACATGTTGGAAGGAGAGAATAGACTCTTATAGTTGTTCTCAGACCATGGACTATGACACATGTGTGCTTTCACACACTCACACTAAATCATAATTTTACAATAAGAGGACAGCCCATCCTTGAGGCTGGCTTTGCTTCCTCCTAGAATGCTACTGTGCCTACCAGGACAAGCTGTGAATGTTTCTGCCAGCATCTAAGAGGTTTTTGCCACCTTTTCTGGTGTCTCCAAAGACTCAGCATTGACAGTTTCCTGAGCCTGTGTATTTTTTAAATTTTTTTTTAAATATTCATTTATTTATTTATATGAGTACACTGTGGCTGTCTTCAAACACACCAGAAGAGGGCATCAGATCCCATTACAGATGGTTGTGAGCTACCATGTAGTTGCTGGGAATTGAACTCAGGACCTCTGTCAGAGCAGTCAGTGCTCTTAACCGCTGAACCATCTCTCCAGCCCAAGCCTGTGTATTAAACCCAGCTGCAGGCACAGTTCAGCTCTTACAAACAAGCAGCACATACTGCAACCACCCACATGCCCAGCAGTGGCAAGAACCTTTTTACAGAAGGAGCCTGGAAAGGTTAGTCGTCACTATCACAGACTAATCTTTTTCTTGAGAATCTACTTGTCAAGAGCATTTAGTGAAAACTTAACTCATTGATTTTACCAGCTTCTGCCATTGAGAGGCCGGAAATTAATTCAACTCAATAGTTTTATAAGCTAGCTTGAGTTAAGATGCTGGCCACCAGTCATCAAACTAAGAAAGCCTAGTTCTGGCTGACCGTTGCCTCTAGGTGGTCACAGAGTTCTGTCAACTGTGGTTGGGCTGTGTGTGGTACAAGATGATAATCCCAGCTGCTTGGGGCATAGATGCAAGTTCTGCCTAGCATGCAGAACAAGGAAGTGGCCGAGGAGGCTGGGTGAGGTCTTGGTTCACTCTTAGCATGCATAAAGCCCTGGGTTCAATCCCTACTTCCACATTAAACCAGGCATCGGGGTGCATTTCTGTAATCCCAGCAGCACCTGGTTAGGCGATGTTCGAGGATCATCTTCAGCTATATGGAGAGTCAGAGGCTAGCTTGAGCTACCTACGACACTGCCTCAAAGACTCCATAGTAAAGCATCCAAAGAGGTGGAACAAGAGAGTGAAGTGGGTGGAACTCACCTTAGGGTCATCAGGGCCCAAGGTGTGGCCCTGCACATCAGTTGCTCAGAACAGAAACTTCCTCAGCATCTACTTTCACATGCCTGGTTAAGTTTAGATACTGCCTGTGGACCTCAGAAAGTCTGAGAAAGACTCCAAGGCCCATCCTGGACCCAAAATCCCAAACATCAGATCCCAGAAAAGAGTCACCCTGTGGCCTACAAGGTGGTCTCCAAGGACCTTCCATTTATCTGATACATGAGAAAGCACAGCAAATGGGCTGACCTTTTTCTTTTTTATTTCTTCCTCTGACAGCATCCTGATAACCTCCAGGCGGAATGTGTTATTTTGTTTTTCAGAAAAAAAGAGCCTTGTTTTACGAGAACATCATTAAGGCCATGAGGCCCCAGCCCGAATACTTTGCTGTGGGATACTACGGACAGGGCTTCCCTTCCTTCCTGCGGGTGAGGAGCCTGGGGGTGGTCCCCAGAGCCAATAGGAGTAGGGTTCAGGGGAGAGGGGAGACTTATCTCTCTTCCAGATGGCCAGCAGCAGCAGCTGGCCTGTGTTCCCTCTGTGGGAGGTCGGGTCAGAGAGAGAGACCTCTTCCTGAATGCTGGCCTCTCTACCCCACACCCCTGACACCACTGGTATTCTGGCCGACCCTTTGTCCAATGGCTTTCCCCAGGTGCAAGGAGAGAAGGAAAAACAGAATTGGCCTCATCTACGGGCCAAGCTTGGACAAGTGTGGATGGATGTGTTTTGCTGCTTATTTTATTTCCAGACAGGGCCACTTTGAAATCAGATATCCCAAGAACAAGGCAACAGACACTGCCCCAAAGTAAAAGCAATTTTGTAGTGGTAACAGGCATTGAGAGACCCCTCTCAAAAGTACATGTACTGACCCAGTGACTTCAGAATTTAAGAAACAAAAACTTTAAAAAGAAGTCTTTTAGACGTGAGCTTTATTTAAATATGTATTATCTCTCATACTCCTAATTTTAAAACTACAGAATGGGATGGGTATGTTGGTTCGCTGCTTGCCTAGCATGCATGAAACACTGGGGTCCATTCCCAGAATCACATGACCTGGGTATGTTTGACTATGCCTTCAATCATAACACTTGAGGTGGACTCAGAATCAGAAGTTCAGGATTATCCTCTGAGTTAGAGGTCAGCCTGGGCTACTTGAGACTGTGCTACCAAATCAAAACAAATTTAAAAAAACAAAACAATAACTACCAAAGAGAGCCATTTATATTCCTAATTGCTCAATGAGAAAGCAGTGAATCCTCACCAGTAAAGTGTCTACTCAGGCTCCTGGGAAGAAGCAGAAATATCCTGAAGTTACTCAGACATTTCTCTGCCCTCAGTGATTCTACAAGCTAATGGAGGCCAGGTGGGAAGTTAAATATTAACATATGAATATAAAATTTAAACCATAACCAAGAAAAATGGCCTATGCTGAAAGAGCTTGTAGCCAGGGAGTATTTACTCAAGTGAATAGAAATCTAATCATTCCAAAATACTGTAGGGAGAGCAGCCTTAATCATAAGGACCAAAGCCTGTATCCAATTCGTATGTCCATCAGCTAGGGAAAGGAGGGATTAAACCCGTATCTACCCAATGGATGCTGCTCAATACCTGTTGAGTATGCAAATCACGTCCACTATGCACTTACATGGTTGTGGATTTAGCTTCGATGGAGAAGCACAATGGCCTTCTCTATCCTCAGCTCCAGATACCCCTTCACCCTTCGTACCTAATGACTTCCTTTGGCTTCCCTGACCTGCAGAACAAAATCTTCATCTACCGGGGAAAGGAGTACGAGAGGCGAGAAGACTTCAGCTTGAGGTTGCTGACCCAGTTCCCCAATGCTGAGAAGATGACCAGTACCACACCACCAGGGGAAGACATCAGGTCATCCCCAAAGCAGTGTATCCTTGCCATGGGGACAGCGGCCCAGTGGCTCTTTACCCTGGGATGGACCAGGCCAAGCCAAATAAATTAAGAGTTGCAGCTCCTTCTCTGTTGGCAGATACACTCCGATCTTTCAAACCATGCCTTCCATCACTCAGTGTAAATATCTTTGGAGGCCCTTAGGGAAGACCTGGTCAGTAAGTGTTGAGTATGATGAATGAATAAACTTCATACTCAGGGAGCTTAAAGGAAGTTCTGGATTCTGTTAAAGATTTTAAAACTGCACACTTAAAACCATCCAACTGCATTCTTGATATCCTCCCAGCCAGTGGTTCCAGGACACCCTCTGCCCTTTCTGCCATGCATGGATACCAAAATCTGTAGCTTTTCAAGTCATTATATTTGCATGTAGCCTATACACATTCTCCCAGATACCATGTGCGTGTGTGTGTTTAGCCATGTCCTGGGGATTAGAACTCTGGCCCTCATGCTTGTATAGCAAGCACTTTACCAACTGAGCCAGTTCCCCAGCCCCTCCTAGTTGACACCCAGATACAGAAAGTATTCTGTAAGTATTATCACAGTGTATGCTTTAGGAGATAAGGACTTGGAGGAGGAAAGTCTATATCTGGTTGTACAGAAGAAACTCCTCACTTGGTTATCTCTTTGGGTACAGAACCTGTAGGCACAGAGGACAGGCTATGTCTGCACTGGTAAGGATGCCAGGAGAGGCCCTTTCCTAGGAGTTTTCATCCATCCCATCCAAGCAAGTCCCCTTACCCCATGCTGGTTTTGGAGTCTGACTTCGCTCCCCAGTTATGGAATCTTGAAATTTTCACTTCTCTTGGCCTCCAAGTTCTCCTCTGCTGAAAAAGAACGATCTGTTGTATAGGTTTGCCTTGAGCTTAAAAGAAAAATTCAGAACACTTAGTCCCCACGAAGGGGCTCACCTCGTCAATAGTAACACCTAAAGATAGCAATTGTGTTCCCCAGGAGGGTTCTGGAGTCTGGCTGTTTCAGAGGCATGCATATTCAGAAGAGATCATTTGAGAGCACTTCTGGCTGTCTGTTTCCTTATACTTTCCTGACACTTCATGTGGCAAGGATATTTGCCAGGTGTCTGGCCACACGAGGTGTCCTGGGGAGTCCCACATCTTGACAGGGGACATGGGAGTGAATTTCAGTGCAGTGCTGGCACCAGTTGAAGGGAGATGAGAAGTGGGAGCAGGGACCTCGCTCGCTCGCAGCCTGTGGCACCCAAAGGGCCAGCCTTTTCCTTAATAAGCCCTCAGACCTGCAGTGCTTCACGGTAAAGCCTGTGATGTGCTTGCCGCCCAGCTACAAGGACAAACCGGTTCCAGAGCAGATCTTGAAGTAAGTGGTTCTTAAAAAGGAAACAATCAGGTGGGACATGGTGCCCTCCTGTCATGGTAGCAGTGGAGGGAAGGAGAGGTGCATTCAAGGCCAGTCTGGTCTACAAAACAAGACTATTTGGAATGTGTCAAAAGCAAAGCCTTTTTTCATTTGTTATATTTTGGAAGACGTATTACTAACTGTTTTGCATACAAGATGAAAGCTTATCAAGTTAAAGCAGCATGGATTTTTTTATCATTGAGTCAGAGGGAAAGGTAAACTTCACTTGGGCACAGGATCCTCTCGCTCAAATAGCCACTCAGGTATCACTGAGGACCACCCTGTCCCAGTGTTTGAGGTTGCTTCCTGTCTCCAGGGAAGCTACCATGCCAGTGAGGTTGATTAACAGCATTATGACAGAACTATGCAAAGGAGACCACAAACATGGTGGGTATACGTACCTTTTAAAACTGTGAGCTGTAAAATAAACTCTCATGTATGAAAAATAAGATGTGGTATGAAACTCAGGTATGTACTGTCCTGGGGACCTCAGTGTGACCCTGTCGGCCATAGGGGTAGACCTCGGTGCCAGGCGTGTCACATTTGGGGTTGTGGGCTGGTTCTATGAGGTCCAGTGCATTTGCTCTGTCCTTTCCCAGCTACTACAGAGCCAATGAAGTGCAGCAGTTCAGATATTCCCGGCCATTCAGGAAAGGAGAAAAAGACCCGGAAAATGAGTTTGCCGTGAGTCAGTTTGGTTTGTTTTCTCGGTGTATGTGTGCGTGTCGGGGGCAGGGTACACATGTGCATTTGGAGGCTAGAAGTCACCCTTGGGTGTCATTCCTCAGGAGCTTCCCATCTTGTTATTTTTGTCAGTGGGTCTTTTCTTGGGACTGCAGCTTAGCAGCCCAGCTTGGTTGGCCACCCAGTGAACTCCTGGGAATCCTCCTCCATCTCTCCTCTCCAGCTCTGGGACTACAAGCTTATGCCACCACCCTGGCTTTGTCCATGAGTGTTGGGGATTGGTTGCAGGTCCTTTTCCTTACTCAGCAAGCACTTCCCCACCCAAGCTATCCCCCTCACCCCCAGCCCCTGTTTGCCTTCTGGTGATCTCCAGTGTCTTCCCTCTCATCCTCCTTGGCTAAGGCAGGAGTTTGGATCTTCCCCTGTAGGAGAGAGTAACCTGTTAATTACTGACAAGCAGGCTGTCATCTCAGTGGGAAACCTCCAAACTGAAGGACTCAGATCTGGGCTCTGTTGCTGATATGATGATAGACCATAGGCAAGTCACACCTCCTGAACCTCAGGTTTCCATCTTTAGAAGGAAAGGGCCCAAGGAGACTAGCTCCATGTAGACCCATATCCCACAATCCTTGAGTTTTATGAGGAATATGTTCACTCCCTAGAAGACATGAGGATGGAGTCTCACCAACTGAGCCAGAGGTTTGGGGTCAGTTGTAACCTGGAAGCAGGCCACTGTCTCATTTTGTGTTTTCTTTCTTGCACCAGACCATGTGGATTGAAAGGACCACGTACACGACGGCCTATACCTTCCCTGGGATTCTCAAGTGGTTCGAAGTCAAACATATTTCAGTAGTGAGTCATTTGAAGTTGTAACTCTGGCAGGGGGTGTGTGGTGGGAACCTCTCTGCAGAAATAATAACTGCTTTTGTTCTGTTCCGCTGCAGCCTGCACCGGCTTGGCTTACCTCCCTCTGGCCAACTTTGTGTTTTAAAGGCGAAATAAAAAGCACACTTGTGTAATAGGGTCGCTTTGTAAAGTTGATGTTACAACACCAACCCGAAAGGTCACACTCAGAGACTGACTCTTTGGTGGCCTGAGAGGCGTTGTCTCCTTTTGTAATGCTGTCAGTGCCCAGAAACAGTGCTGGAATGTGTCTGGAGAGCTGCCTCCACCACACCATCTTTCCTGAAGCCCCTCTAGCTCTCAGCTTAAGCATCCGTGTTGCTGCAGCCCCTGCCCTGCTCCTTCCCAAAGCTGCCATTTAATCTTTATAGTACTTATCTGATCTGTCTTCTCTCTGTCCCCGTGTATTTGCATTGTTGTCATCCCGTTCTGGTCTCTGCTGTGTCCTAAAAGGTCTCCTGTTGCCTCTGTCTTGGTCTTTTCAGCCAGTGTTCCTCAGTACCTCAGAGTGTGGATCCCACTGAGCAGACCTGACTGTCTCATGTGTTCTTACGTTGGCATCCTCCTGTGGCTTGCTTCCCTGTGCCTGCACTATGGAGCCCGCTCTCATTTCTAGCCACCTGCATTTATCTCTGTCCATCTCCATCCACTTCCATCCACTTATATCCCTCCCCTTTCATGTCTGCCTGCCTCTGTTCGTGGCTATCTTCCTCCTTTCTCCACCTCTGTCTTCATCTTCCCCCTCAGTCCACCTTCATCCATCTCCTTCCACATCTCTGAGAGAAGCTGTCAAAACTAAGACTTAGATGGTTTACATAGTTAATGACATTGGGTCACTTGGGGGTGGTGGGCCTCAATGTCCTCTGACCACTGCTCAGTTTTATTCCTATCAAATTAGTGTGAGATCCACCTTCTCTGTGCAGCCAACTCTGTGTTCATACCATTCTGGACATATTTCTAATGCACCCTATTTGAAAGTCTTGAGTTTCTACTAAAACTATCAAACTCCTACTAGCTTTGAGTTACAATGTGTAGTTCCAGTCTCAGCAGCTCAGCCAACTGTGGGCTTCACCACCTGTGGACAGTGTACTATGTATTGAGGCGAAGCAAGCTGCTTCTCTATTCTAAATATATACAGACTCTTTCCTTGCCTTATTCCCTAGATAATGTATAATATCCACCGCTATAACCTTAGGTCCTACCAGTCATCCAAAGCCAGATGTGATGGCACATGCCTTTAATCCCAGCACCTGAGGGCTAGAGGCAGGTAGATCTCTGAGTTCAAGGCCAAGCTGGTCTACATAGTGAGTTCTAGGACACTCTATATTCTATATCCAGGGAGATATAATGACATCCTGTCTCCAATAAAGTAATTAAGTATATAAAAAGATATATATAGAGAAATTATATATAAATACTGTATCACTTCAGAACCAAGGCATTCATGCACCCTTAGATTTTGTTGCTCTCAAAAATCCAAGAACCAGTCCTCCTACGTATTTCTGAGCTGGCTGTGTATTTCATCACTTTTGTAACTGGTGCACAGCATGGTACTTGGCATAAAGTAGGCATGTGAAAAATAATTCCTGAGCTGATCATGTACAGTCAGTGTGAAGCACTACTTTGGCATGCACACACACATGTTTATACTCAATAGAGGGGAGAGGAGGAAAAGAGGTATTCTGGGACCCAGGCATCTCCTGTAGTTGGATATGGTGGCACATGCTTGTACCAACTTTTGGGAGGATGAGTCAAGAAGATCAATGCTAGCGTGAGGCTAGTCTGGTTCTCATCATGGGTTAAAGGGGCAATGTAGTAAGACCTTGTCTCAGGACAACAATGAAAGGAAAGTACAGAAGTAAAGGGAAGGGAAGAAGAGGATATTTCTTGGCCATTATGACCTGAAGTCTGATCTATTACTTGGTGCTAATGAGAAATCATTTATTTAAATGTAGCATGCTTTCTGGGTAGAGATGTTAGGAATAAATTCTGGAATAGGCGGCCCTGTGGCCAACAGTAGATGAAATGAAGGTGCTGGCTTTTTGGGAAATGTGGTTTTGAGGACATTTCTGGAAGAAGAATCTAGTTCCTGTGATTGCTTCTTCATCTAAAACTCAGTGTGGCTCTTGAGTCTTCCTGTTCTTTCTGACTTCCATTAACCACAGGATCTACCCTAAGGAGATGAGGCAAGGATCTGGATGTAAGGATTCCAAGATCTCTGTTCTTTCTTACCAAGGAGACATGTGAATTTTCCAGGGGACAGTTTCCATTGTCAGTGGCGCAGAAGGGTCTCAGATCTGTTAACCAGCGATCACCTCAGAGCCCCTGAGATGGGATTGCCTGAGAAACAATGCTCTACAGATCTAGATTTCTTCACACACTTTGTGTAGATGTTTTGCTCAAAAAAAAAAAAAAACAGTGTTTTCTACAGCCCACAGTTTACAACATCCCACTTCCTAAGATTTTTCAATAGCCAATTTTGTAATTAACCAATAGAAAAGCATGGGGTGCCTAATGAACAGAATCCTAACAATTGAACGCTCCTGCAGATTGTGCAGAATTTCCCTATCTTGAGAAGAATGATCAGGTTATTTCAGTCTTTGGAGTGGAACTCACCCGGGTCCTTCTCCCATCTGCTCCATTCCCCAGGAAGAGATCAGTCCTTTGGAGAATGCCATAGAAACCATGGAGCTGACCAACGAGAGGGTCAGCAACTGCGTGCAGCAGCATGCCTGGGACCATTCTCTCTCTGTGCACCCGCTCTCCATGCTACTCAGCGGCATCGTGGACCCAGCTGTCATGGGGGGATTCTCCAACTACGAAAAGGTAAGTCCTGCTCCTGAGTCTCACAAGAAAGACAGGCCGTCCTCCGTGTCATGTGCCACTCTCCTCCCTGAATGGACATGTGGAATTACACAAGGATTGTCCCTGGCCTCACATTGTCTTGTGAAGCCTCAGTGAAAGAGTGCCTGGCCCTGTGCCTCTGGTGGATGCACCCGCTATCCTGTCCTCTGGGAGAAAGGCAGTTCAGGGTGCTCCCAGAGCTCAGGATGCACTTCCAGGAAAGCCACTTTTAGGTTACGCAGAGATGCTTTATGTAGAATGAGTCTCCAGGAATCTCCAGCCTGACTTGAGCCAAGTCGTATGGAGAGAAAACGTTTCAGCTTGTATTAGTTACTTCTCTGCTGCTGTAATGAAATACTATGACCAAAAGCAACTTAATGAAGAAAGAGTCTATTTGGTTTATGGCGCCAGTGACATAGAATCCATTATAGCAGAGAAGGAATGGTGTGCCATGGTGGCAGGAGCTGGAAGCTAGCCGGTCACATTCCCATCCACACACAGGAAACAGGAAATGGAGTGAGACTAAATTCTCAGATCTCGGCCCTGTGATGGACTTCCTCATAGATGTTCCATAACCTCTCCATGGAGGACCATCAGCTGAGGGCTCTGAGTGTTCAGATACATGAGTCTATGGCTGACATTGCTCATTCAAACTGGCACACAGCTTCACCATTGTCTAACTGGATGCTACATCTGTTACTCTGAAAAGGCATAAGAGGCATACTGACCATGTGTACTCCACTGGATAGGATTTGGCTAGAGCATCATTTATATGGGAGGATGTGAATTCAGTCTAGGTGAAGGACAGTTGTGAAGAGACAGGAATCATAGCTGTTATGGTACATGTTCAGTGGCTGAATATTTTTGGAGTCCTCTTCTTGAATATAGCTAAACATGTGGCCAAGAAACTCCTTTGATGAGGGAGAAGATGAGACAGAAAGAGACAGGACCTGAAAGGGTGATACATGGGCTGGTACTCTCAATTCCGTTTGTACACAATAGCCCAGAAGAGTGAAGGTCCTGTGGCCTGTCACTTCTGTAACCTCATTCTGGTTTTCTACTGGCCACTGTATACTCTTGAACACAAGTGTCACCTCTCTGAGCTGCAGTGAGGAAACTTCCCAACTTACGGGATGGGTTTGGTGATCAGGGAAACCATTCTATATATAGAGGAATTTGTTTAATATATGTCTCTTTATTATTCATTGTGTAGTAAAGGTGGTCCTGTGAACGGGATGGATGTTCAGTCGTTACTTAAGATGTTTTCTCCCTTTTGAAACTGTCCTCCTCTCTCTGCGATCAGCAGTGTGTCATAAGTAATGTCCGCATGTGTTCTCCTTTTAGGCTTTTTTTACAGAAAAGTACTTACAAGAGCATCCTGAGGACCAAGAGAAGGTGGAGCTCCTCAAGCGGCTGATTGCCTTACAGGTATGTAGGCTGGGAGCCTGCAGCTGGACAGCTGTGCACAGTGCTCCATGCGTGTCCACTGCATTGGGCCCTAAGGCATGCTACATAGCTTAAGTGTAGCTATAGGCCACTTTCTGGGGTCCCTCCCCTTCTCTCTCTCTCTATCTCTCTCAACATCTCTGTCTCTCTCTATATGAGGGTGTGCATGTGTCTGTGTGTGTGTGTGTGTGAGAGAGAGAGAGAGAGAGAGAGAGACAGAGAGAGACAGAGAGAGACAGAGACAGAGAGAGAGAGACAGAGAGAGAGAGAGACAGAGAGAGACAGAGACTAGGTGTAGCAGTACTCTCTTGTAGTATTAGGGCAGATTTCATGGACTTACTGACCAGCCATCCTATCCCAGTTGGTGAATTCCAAGCCAGTGAGTCACCCTTTCTTCAAAAAACAAGGTGGGAGACATCTGAGAATGACAGCAGAGGTTGTCCTGTTGCCTCCACATGTACACACATACATTTACACACAGACACACAGACACACAGACACATTAGCACACCTGGGAATTCTGAAGTCTGATTTCCTAGCCTGTGTTTCTTGCTGACACATACCGATCTCATTCTTTTTCTTATCACTTCTGTAAACCCTGCTAGGAAACTGAGTCTCTTCGACTACCTCAGTGCTCAGTTGTATGAGCCTTGCCAGTTGGCCTCTCTAAAGTCTTTGGATCTTCTTTGTTTTCCCTTGACAGAGTTCCCAAGCCCTTGACTAACAAGTGACATTTTCATTAGTTAATTCTGTGTCTGCTAGTCTCTCCAACTCCACCCCCTCGCCCAAACCTCCGAGTCTGAATTGACTCCCTTCCCAAACCACGTCTCTTTTCTTTCCTAACCTTCCTTCCAGATACCTCTGCTCACGGAAGGGATCCGCATCCATGGGGAGAAGCTGACGGAGCAGCTCAAGCCGCTGCATGACCGGCTATCTTCATGCTTCCGTGAACTCAAAGAGAAAGTAGAGAAGCTGTATGGGGTCATAACCCTGGTAAGCTTTGACTAATGGCCCGTGAACTTTGCTGGGTCTCTCTCAGGATATGACCCAGGGTGTCAGACGCCAGAGGTGAGTCACACCAGCATAGGTGGGATGTGCAGATTGTGCAGGCAGAAGAGAGTGAGTGTGCTCTACCTTTAGTCACACGAACCATCCTTGGGCTAGAGATTTCCGAACTTGATTGACCTTCAGAACAGAGAGCTTAGGAAACACAGATAAATAGCTTCAGATTTTACAGATGTGGCAGGACCCCAGTTGACAGTTTCAGCATATGGCCTGGGCTGGAGAGATGGCTCAGCGGTTAAGAGCACTGACTGCTCTTCTGGAGGTCCTGAGTTCAATTCCCAGCAACCACATTGTGGCTCACAGCCATCTACAATCCGTTCCAGTGCCCTCTTCTGGTGTGTCTGAAGACAGCTACAGTGTACACATACACATAATTCTTTTTTTAAAAATGGCCTGATGACTATACACCAAGGTGGCTGGACTGGGCAGGCACTTTGAGAACACTCGGGCATGGCAGTTTCCTACATGTTGGCCATTCCTTCCTGTCCTGCCTGATTTTTATAGCATTTCTGGATCTTTTTCTGTTTGGTATAAGTTTGATCATCTGACTCTTTGTGGGAAGGAACAGTTGTAAACTTGACAGATTTCTCTGTCATCTTTGACACACTCTGTGAGGCTGCATCTTTGTGGGTTTCCCACCTCTCCACCCCCAAGTGCTGAGGGGAAGCATGCTGCCAACCTCTCCTCTCTCAATCAGTGGCGTCACTGGTCCTGGCTCATTGCTGTGTTCTCTTGTCCTCAAGTTCACCTCACCTTCTCTGACAGCCTTGTTTTGAACCCCTGACTTTCAAATTCTTTCCTCCAATCAGAGGTCTGCACACCTCCCCACTAGAGCTTCCCTCAGAGGACCTTTCCCACTGTCTCTCCCAGTCATCAGTGTACACAGGCAGCCAGGCGTGGTGATGCACACTTATGACCTCAGCACCCAGGAGGCTGAGACAGAAGGATGGCTGTGAGTTTGAGGCTCACATAGCTAACTAAATTCTGCTGCTCCGCTCATCACCAGAAATGCCCAGTTCAGTCTCCTTCCTGGTACTCTGCTGACCCCTGACCCCTACTGCTGTCTAGACACAAACGCATGTCTTTTGTGCCCACGTTCCTAGACTATAGGTCTGAGCTTTCCTTCCGCCTGCTATCCTCGATCATTGTTAGAATCCAGCCACTGTCAGAAAGCAAATGTAATAGGATACCACATGGGGATGGTGATTCCCTGGTAGAATCCGAGGTTTCTGGAGACTCCCCCTGCCCACATTAGATTCTACGGCCTCCTTAAGACTTTGCTTTTGGATCAACATGCCATAATTTTATAAGACCAACAGGGTGGCTGCCCCAGACCATGCCGGCTGCATTGCAGGCTGCTAACCTTGAGGGGCTGCATGTGTTTCAGCCACCCAGCATGACGGAGAGGAAGCCAAGCCGTGCAGGCTCGATGGTACTGCCCTACATCATGTCCTCCACGCTGCGCAGGCTGTCTGTCACCTCTGTGGCCTCCTCAGTGGTGTCCACCTCCTCCAACTCTTCTGACAATGCACCTTCCAGGCCAGGATCTGATGGGTAAGGCTGATCTTTGCACTTGGGGAGGGTAGGACAATAACTTGTGACTTTGGCTTTGGGCACCAACGTGAGACTTGGTGTGTTTGCACACCACTCCTTTGAGGAGAGTAACTCACAGCTGTGGGTTCCTTCACGTGTATTCATGAGAACCATCACTGACAGTGCTGTTACTAAAAAATAAAAATGAAATGAAAAATCCATATTTTACCACCTACTGAACACAATTGCCTTGTAGGCACAGCTTAATTTCTCATTATGTATCATTTTTTTGCTACAAAACCACACACACACACACACACAACCTCTTCATGAGTTTTTAACATTCAGTTTATTAGAAACATCTGTAGACAGTTTCTCGTACACATGTTTGTATGTGTGCACACATGCACAGGCACACGTGGGTGCTTTCATGCAAGCATGTGTAGAGGCCAGAGATTGCTGACAAGGAATCTTCCTCGGTTACCCTCCACCTGATCTTTTGAGGCATGATTTCTCACTGAACCTGGAACTTACTCTATGATTACACTGGCTGGAGAGTGAGCCCAGACCCCCATCCTTGCCTGCAATGCTGAGGTTACACTGGCTGGCCAGGGAGCCCAGACCCCCATCCTTG